GGAGAGGAACCACGTGGGGCCTGACCTGGCCGCCTACTGCTAGAAGATTGACAGTGTGCAGCTCTTCAGTCATCTGAGGTGCTGCCCTGACACAGATTAACATTATCATAGAATGGTTAGAGTTGGAAGGGACCTTAAAGATCATTGAGTTCCAACCCCCCTGCCATGGGCAGGGACACCTCCCACCACACCAGGTTGCTCCAAGCCCCATCCAGCCTGGCCTTGAACCCCTCCAGGGATGGGGCAGCCACAGCTTCTCTGTGCAACCTGTTCCAGGGTCTCACCACCCTCAAAAGAAAGAATTTCTTCCTAGTATCTCATCTAAATCTCCTCTCTTTCAGTTTTAAACTGTTACCCCTCATCCTATCACTACACTGAAGCTTTTTGAAACCAAAAACTTAGAGAAAACCAGAGCCTGACAGGTTGTGCCGTCTGTGTGGAATACAAGCTCAAGTTTTAACAGTCTCCATTATACCATTATTAAAAATAATAATAATAATAATTTTATATTCAAATCCATTTGCCAATTATAAACCCTTCGAAAGGCAGCAGCACGTGCTCTGGCATTGGCTGCCTCTGCGTGGTCCAGCTGACTTCTTGCTCTGAGGTTCTGCATCAGTGGGGATGGCCACGCACCGGCAGGTGTCCTTCTCCCCATCCCCGTTCTTTGCCTGATGTACTCGTATGGCAGAGCCTGCTAAAAAAGAACCAAAACAACCCAGCCAAAATTACCCAGCAGGGCGAGGGGAGAACAGAGCACCAGAAATTAATACTGTGAGAGGGCAGGCGAGCTGTATTTTGCCGGTATCCTCTGGTGCAGCAGGTCAAGGCTTTGTTACGCACGCTCGGATCTCGCTGGAGACATCCTCGTCAGCACAGCCTCGCAGGCTATTTCTATTTTTATAAATTTCCCTGGCGCTTTCCTCACCTTCCATTTAAAAAAACGTATCTTTAACTGTATCCCAAGCCCTTCTGCCTAGGAATCTATTCGCAATTCCTCTACCCCCATTGAAAGAGATAGGGTATAAAATCGGGAGCCAGAACCTGCATCACAGCTCCCTTACTGAGAGGGCCTGACAAACCAAACTAAGCCCTCTTTCTACCTGCAGTGCCTCCTGGAAGACTAGTTATAGGATTAACTAACTGCTCAACAGCATTTGTGTCTACAAACTAGCTCTGCTCATCACACCTGCTTGTGACAAACATCAATGCCTTCTCCTCCCGGAGCAGCACACCCCAGGACTTTGGTGTCACTGCACCAAATCCACTCCAGAAACAGTTCAGGTAAGGGATGAGAACGGCTGCAAACATTTTTTTTTCAAGAGTTTACATAGCAATATGTGCCACAAAAAAAGACATTGAGGTGCTGGAAAACGGCTGCAAACATTTTTTTTTCCAAGAGTTTACATAGCGATAAGTGCCACAAAAAAAGACATTGAGGTGCTGGAGGGGGTCCAGAGAAGGGCAATGAAGCTGGGGAGGGGTCTGGAGCACAAGTCTTATGAGGAGAGGCTGAGGGAGCTGGGGGTGTTCAGCCTGGAGAAAAGGAGGCTGAGGGGAGACCTTCTCGCTCTCTACAACTCCCTGAAAGGAGGGCGGAGGGAGGGGGGGGGTCTCTTGTCCCAGGTCACAGGTGACAGGACAAGAGGAAATGGCCTCAAGTTGTGCCAGGGGAGGTTCAGATTGGATATTAGGAAAATTTCTTACATGGAAAGGGTTATCAAGCCTTGGAATGGGCTGCCCAGGGAAGTGGTTGGGTCACCATCCCTGGAGGTATTTAAAAGACAGGTAGACGTGGTGCTTAGAGACATGGTTTAGGTATGGGGTTTTTGTATCAGAGTTAGGTTGATGGTTGCACTGGATGATCTGCAAGGTCCCTTCCAACCTGGGTGATTCTAATATAAGTTTTATACATAGGGAAAAGCCAAATGCATATAACCGATATACAAACCTGTCAAAATGTCAGGCCACCTCGTTTCTTCTCCACGTACTCCTCTGGCACCCTTCCATCGCAAGAAATGCACCCGAGAAATGGCTTTTGGAGAGAAGGGATCAGTAGAAACACTTCATGTTTGCCTTGAATTCCCAGTGAAGTGGCATGTTCCTACTTGAAATGTCTTGAGAAAGATTAATAATTCACACACCTCTGCTGCTGTCACATTATTTGTACAGAATCATAGAATTCCTTGGGTTGGAAGGGACCTTTCAGATCATCTCGAGAAAGATTAATAATGCACACACCTCTGCTGCTGTCACGTTATTTGTATAGAATCATAGAATTCCTTGGGTTGGATGGGACCTTTCAGATCATCTAATCCAACCATCAACCTAACTCTGACAAAAACCATCAGTAAACCATATCTCTAAGCTCTATGTCTGTCTTTTAACTACCTCCAGGGATGGTGCCTCAACCACTTCCCTGGGCAGCCCATTCCAATGCCTGATAACCCTTTCAGTGTAAAAAATTTTTCCTAATATCCAACCTGAACCCCCCCGGCGCAACTTGTACAAGACCAACTCCACCAACCAGCAGGAAGACAGCAGCTTCATGTTTGCAGCTCTTTCAGAACCAGTAAGAGCCAAGGTAACACCCAGCCAAAAGGACTGTGTTTTTTCTATTCACTTTCGGATAAAATAAAGGAGTTGTGATTTTGCTACAGCTGACTCAGCCTGGATGCAAATCTGGCAAATTAAATTCCACCATCCACGTTAAGAAAGAGATTCAGCCTCTGAACGGGATCGGCTTTGATACCACACTAAAGAATTCAGCTGAAATGCAGAATGATGAAAGACTCCCGCTCAGCAGCTGATATAATTATCACACCGAGCTTAATTAGATCATGAACTTGACTTTATGCTCCCCCAAAGGAGTACTGAAAGCTCGGTCCAGTTACACTGAACTCGGTCCAGAAGACTGAAGCTTATCCATCAAGATAAATATATTACTAGGTTCTTTGATATGACAGTGACAAAGCAAATGCCTTTTTAACTATGATTTTTAAAAAGAATTATTAAACTGCACTAAACTGTATGCTGTTATCTTTGAGGGGGGAAAAAAAGGCATAATACATGAAAAACAATTATTACAGAGCACACAGAGAACAATTTTTCAAGCGCTGTTTTCAGAATTAAAAACATTTGAACAAAGGTTCTCTTTGTGGAGAGTCACTTTGTAACCAATTCAAGCCTTTAAATAGCTATTGTTTAAAAAAATTGTCAGCTACAGAAATTGTTTTTCCTTCAGATTCCAAATCTTGTCAGGCCAGGTTGATTAAAATGTTGCATTAAAAAAAAAAAAAAAGGGGGAAAAAAAGGCAATCTAATCACCCCTTATAAAAGTGAAAAGAGCAACTCAATTTTTAAAGCCTCATGAACAAAAGGCTGTAGCCCATCTATCATTCACATATGGATTCATGTAATGATTCTTCAATTAGAATTATTATCTATACAGCAGCTGAAGACGGAGAACTGCTGATACACTGCAGATGAGAACATTTGCTAGTCTCTGGGCTCCAGCCTTTCTTAAAAAATGATGACGGCACAATATAGATTGCTGGGTTTATACGTGTGTTAAGCTGCAATGCCAGCATTTACATTTGCAACATCACAGTTTTGCTTTCTTAGGCTCCAGAGAATTCGCTGCATCTGGTAGATTTTATTTGCTTTGTATCTTTCAGGCGATCGTTAGGAACAAAGTGTGAACAGCCAGAGTCACTGCTCAAACAGTCCTTCGTTTTGTTTATCATCCCAGATACTACAAAAGAAGTAAACCCAGAGTGGGTTTACTGTGAGGTGGGTCATTTGGAGTCAGTTCGCTTGCGCTGTACTACCCCACTGCTATTTTTATAAGGCACGTCCATCTGCTCCTTCATTTCTTTCACCTATATAGATCCAGGCAGCGTAAGATGTAACATCAGAAGGGAAGAAAAGCACCTCACAGAACAGTTACAGGCACCATAAGGGAGGAAAGTCACTTTGGTGACTCAGACCGCAGCAATCTGGGGGGTCCCTGCCTTCCTGAGCATCCCACCCTGTTGCCAGAGGTTTCTGTCATTGGGAAGCAAGTATCCCTAGAATGTGTATTCTGCAGAAGCAGAGAGGGCAGTGTGCTGGCTCTACAGCCTCTGCTTCTCGTCCCTGCAGTGCTCAAACACCCCCCTGGCTCAGTGTTTGTTAACCAACTGTGGTAGTGGCTAAGCAGACGCAGATCACTTCACCACCTCCGCTACCGAGCGGTCACCTGCAGCAACGAGGGGAACCTAAACTTCCCTGCCTGAATCCTCAGCTCTTCTGGAATATTTCAAGTGCTTGCCTGTTCCTATTTCATGGCTGGTACTCACATGCTGTGCCCTAGAAGATGATGGTGACAGGTAGCTACATAAATGGTAGCTGGGAGAAAGCCTCACTGAAACTGGCATCTCTGTTCTTGCTGTTTCTACTAAGGTTTCTTGCTATTTGAGCCCCAGGTGTGTTCTGAAGCCCAGTCAGGCTTCCTACATATCTCACCAGTAACGTGGATGCTGGAGGTGGCTCTTCCAGGTATGTGGAAGCCTTTAGTGACATCTGCCTATGTAAAGAATAAGAAAAGGGCTGCACAGTTAATTAAATTAAGAAGCTTCTTACTTAGAATCATAGAGTTGCCCAGGTTGCAAGGAACCTTGCAGATGATCGAGTCCAACCATCAACCAAGGGACCTTGCAGATGATCGAGTCCAACCATCAAAACCTAACACTGACAAAACCATCACCAAACCATACCTCCACAGAAGGGAAACATGTTAATCCATTTGTTTCACTCTGCACAGTTTGATAAACCCATGCCCACGCTATTCCCATCTTTCACAGTATCACTGTTGCTGGGTGAGACCTGCCACAGCCATGAAATCTCCCCACGTCTGTCATACAAAGGAAATGAAAACTCTTTATCAGGGGTGTATGTTCCAGTATTACTTCACTGAGATCTCCCCACATCTGTCATACAAAGGAAATGAAAACTCTTGATCAGGGGTGTATGTTCCAGTATTACTTCACTACTTTATTACAGAAATTAGTGGATAGAGAATAAGTGATTTATACTCTTTCTTGAAAAATACTTTTTATCTACTGAATGTCCTAAATAACCAATTATTCTCCATTTACTTGAAATTATATTGCCTTTCGAATTACTTAAAATTTCATTTTATTTATAGTGACATTATAGAATGCTTTCATCTCTAAAAATGTAATATTAACTGAAGACATTTAAGGGGGCAAAGGGAGCAAACAAAATGGAAAACTGGTACAGCAGCTTACCAAAGTAACATACCACAAACATTTCAATCAAGAGTTTATACATCATGACCGGACAGATTTCTCAAAATAGTTTTAATTTCCTGACTTCGGGTGGCGTCATTAAGATTTGCAAAGAGATGTAATGACACATGAATTAAAATGTGGTTTTGTGTTGGTTTTTTTTTCAATTAAAGCCATCATCTCAAACTGTTTTTAAAATTAAAAAAAAAAGCTTAAAAGGTCAAAAATCAAAACAAACCACTTAATTGTGTATAGAGATTTGTTAAAATTTCCAGCTTTCACTTCAAATGGGAAGCATTTTGAAGACAGCAAAAACACTACCTGAGAAAGCAGTTCAATTTATAGTAGAAGTGAGTGAATTATTTGCAGCAGGCAATTTATTAGGAGAACATCAAAGGTAGAGGTTTCTTCCTCTCAGAGAATGCAACCGCTGTTTTCCTTATTCAGTTTCAGGATGTTATTCATCAAATGCTTATTTTAGCTGCCACCACCCACCTCCCTAAACTCTCGTGACAATAGTTCTAATGTTTGCATTCTGTGACTTAGTCATCTAAATCAATAATTTATAGTCATCCAGGCACAGCACAGCAGGATTGAGAACCAGGAAGAAAGGTATCACTAAGGCGTTGAGGTTTTCACCGGCTCCTCCAATATACTGAATTCTGGGGCAGAGTTTTGACTCCCGACCTTGTGGAAGAGATTTATTGACTGGAAAAACTGAGGCACTGCATGTTCTCAATTAAAAAAAAAAAAAACACCTCCTTATAGCCACAATGACTTGGTGGTCAAGTTATATTACATTTCTCCTCGGATGTGTTTGCACAAGTATTTCCTGACATTTAGAACTCATCAATTGTGGCGCCTCAAGAATTACTACGTTACAAACAGACAAAGAAAACGTCTTTGAGCATTAAGCTCACTTTGAACAGCAAAGGACATAAAAACTACATACAATGTAGTCAATGCATTTAAGAATAATTAACTGGAAGTTTTGCAACCTGCAGCACTGGCATTCTGGTGATACGAAACCTTTGTTTCAGGAATGGGCTCTGAATCCACTGGTTGCTTAATGAATTCAAATAAACAACAGCCACAGAAGCAACAGTGCCAATGGCAGGAGATGTTTCAGAAATTTAAAAAACAATGGACTAAAAATGCCAAAACATCCTCAGGTCTCACTGGCTCTTGAAACTGCTGCATTAATCCCACAAGGCATTCCTCCTTTTCAGTGGGGCTCCAACCTGATTGCCTGATCAAAGAAAAGATGAAACAGAAAAAAGAAAGAAAGAAGAAGAAAAAAAAAAGACAACTGTACCTCTCCGCTCCACAACCCCTTGCTCCCATTATTAAAATAAATTCCTTTGGGTTGCTGAACTACGCAAATGTTTCCAAGAGCTGAGAGGATATGAGGTATTCTAGGTTTTCCTTTGCCACTGAGGACTGCTTTGTTCCAGAGTGTCCTTGAGAGGTGAGAACACCTGCAAACGCTGCTGTTCCAACTCTACCATTTCCTCATGCAGCTTTAACACTGTATTTAGTAAGGCCTACCCCAACACTTATATAAATCTTCGAAAATAAATGAAAATTGGCAAGTACGCTGATGAGAAACAGATATTTTGATAGCAGTGAACCATTTCTTGCTGGATGGCCTATAGCTGGGAAGGAATTCAATCACTGCCACAGAAAATCTTGTTAATCAAGAATATGTGAATAAGCATTCTGTGATTTGCTGAACACCAGGTTCCAAATAAGTCACCCACGGACTGAAAGGCCAGCTCAAGGTCTTTAGGGATGCAGTGCTTTACTTTGGCAGATATTAAGCGCGTTCATGCACCGCAAAAAAATTGCGCCTGGCCTTCTGTCTTGGAGGGAATCTCACCTACTTTCTTTAAAGCTGAATTTCACCCAAGTATTTTTCGGTATTTTCACCCAAGTATTTTTTCAGATCAGGAATAGATTTTTCTCTGCTGCAGATTCACAGTGCTAACCCAATACAAACCTGACACAAGTCAAACCAAAGTGCATCTTCCCATGTTACTAAATCTCTATCTTCTGGTCTTCAAGTTGTTCTGTGCCCGCATTAGAATTACTTATGTCGTTTACACCTTTCTCTTTCTTTGATTCTTTTCTAGAAGCCTTCAAACACTTGTCCAGTCTTTTTAGGAACACATCTACATCTTGCTTCTTAATTCCAATTGCTGAGGCAGCGTTGAGGTAAGCGCAGGGATAGTCATTTGCGTGTGACATAAAGCCTTTAAAAGTGTAGTTATTCACTGTTTGTACAGCCCCACAGGGAACAACCCTGGAATAAACAAACAAGAGCGTGATTCAGTTAAAGATGCCTCGGATATTTTATGTGTTTCACTACGATGAACACATTTACACAAGTTCTTACACAGTGTAATGTAAATGAGTGCCAGTAGTAGCAGATCCTGAACTATCTTGACTCTGTGCAATGCCTGTGTCCCTTCCCCTCTTCAGATAATTTATTAAGGTTTTCATTAATGGTATTTATGAGCTCCCCAGTGGGGGGGGGGGAAAAGACATCTGCAGGAAACTTTCCTATTCCATAACAAGCCCAAATTATCTGACCTGCTCTGTCTCTGACCTGGGTCTGTTCACCCCTCCTAGGGGAACATGGTGACCCTGAGCCCCCCAGGATCTCCTTACTGATGGCAGCCTTAGAGCAGATGTGCGTGGCACAGCGTACTGTAGGCCAAAAATGACTGGGTTCAAGTGATTCAGAGGGCTCAGGATCCCAACTTCCCCTCATCCATTCCTCTCTGCTGCACCTCCCTTCCCCCCCATCCTGTCATATTAACACCTATTCATTCCCTCCTTGTAGCAGACACTTTTTGCTACAGCTTTTACCTCTTCCTAATACTAAGACCCTCTACCTATTACACCCTATTTCTCAGCACTTTCAGTAGATATCCATTCCCCTGATAAATCAAGACCCTAATCCACATCCTTACTTGTTAAAGAAACAACTTGCCTTGTGGCTACAGTTAAAGCCTTCACAAGCAGTTAACACCAATCAATTGATAAGAATTTACTGCCTCTATAGAGACCTTCCCCGCAGTTTGGAAAAGAAACTGCATTCAGACAAATGCCACCAGGATTAGGAGATCCTTCCTTCCTCTGAGCAAGACCACAGGTTGTGCAAAAGGGAGTTGCTATTCCTACTGCCAACACTCAGCACAAGCATAAAATTTCAAATTTGCTGAAATGCCAGGTCAAACAGTGTATATACTACAAAAGAATTACTTGCTTAACGTAAAAATAGGAAAAAACCTGAAACCCTTGCCTCAGGCAAAGAATTGGAGAGTTTTAACATCAAAAATTGAACCTCTTGAATAATTTTCATCCAAAGATGGCTGAAATTGCAGGACAAGCCAAGGTTAGGACAGGCAAATTAAAAAGAGCATCTAACTACAGTACATATAGATTTACTGTCACTCATTGGTGCAGGAAGAGGAATAATCCAAGCTAATGAAGCATACCTTCTGATGTGAAAACACTCAGCTCTGCTACAAAAAAATGACATTAAGTTTATGGCAGAAGTTATCGTGGCAGCAGTAATATTCAGATTAAGGAATCCTGCCAAAACAAATTTTAAATCATTCTCCTCTTCTAAAAGGTTTAAATCAAAATCATTAAAAATTATATGGCTTGCATTTCCATTTACCAATGTCTCTAAGAATAAATTTAGCTCAGACTGGTTCAGGTTGTAGATCTACAAGAAAAAAATATTAATTTTTTTTAAGCACAATTAGTTCCAGAAAGCGAGATTTTCTTCCATATGACAAAAACCTATGTAGGGTATTAAATCTTATTCCCCTGACATCCAGCACAACCATATTTGTGCTGCAATAAACAAAACTAAGATCTTCCCTAAGTAGCTTACAACTTAACTATAAGATCAGGCAACAGCTGGAAACTAAATGAAACCAAGGGGTACTAGAGAATAATGACACTAAATTAAATGGGCACAGATTATCTGTTTAGCCTAACAAAGGGAGCCTAACTCAGGCAGGTAGATGTTATTAGTAGATAACTGATAAAGATGTGTGTATTACTCTTTGACTCATTCTTGTCAGACTGCAATTTGCAGTCATGAGACAGCTGGTACAAAACAAATATGATAGGATTTCATAAAATACATGCCAATGGAACACCCCAAATTTTTCAAAAATCGTAGCATCCTCACCTTGCTCCAGAAACTTGTCTTGTGAAAAGCATAGATCCAAGTTGGGTAACAGCAACATCATTATTTTCATCAAGGTTCTTCAGCGACATTGCTAAAGTAACAAAAGGTCAGGTTAAAACTACTACAAAGCTGCTTTTTCTCCAAAGAAGAACCGCAGAGGACAAGCTGTTTCCCAACAATAAACATTTAGCCAAATATTCGTGTTCAGATACAAAGAAAAAAATGAACCCAAATATTACATTTCATAATTTTTAATTTTCCCACAAGCTGTCATAGATTACTTATTTGGTTAGACAGTATGTAAGGCAGATTGTCACAGGTGGGCAACATTACTTTGGTATTCAGCAGAATTTTTGGTTAGAACAAATATCTTGAGTAGGAATTCCATACTCTCTTTTACGGCACTATAAGATGATGGGTAAAATAATTATACTCTATTTTTAAATCTACTCCTTTATAAAAAGTATTACTACATGCTAACATGCCCACCTTTACTATAATAAATGAGTATGTTGAACAAGAGCAATTTTGTAAAAAAATAAAGGGCCCAAGTCACTACTCTGCTTTTATAGTAGGTTACCTTACTGGGTTCAACGGTTTCATATCAGCCTAAGAACTATTTAGTAGAGGGTAGTGAACAATGTTTAATATATAGGAATTGTATGTGAAAGAGCATTATGAATGCACAGTATATTAGAATTTTTTTTTTAAAAAAAGGTAAAAAACAACGGTTACCTAAGGAAATAGGATTATGTGGTGTGTCTAACAGTCTCTCATTGTGGTTATCTGCCAGCTTCTTCAGCTCACTTGAAAGATAGGAAAACATCTCCTGGAAAAAAAGGATGCAATATTTTTGTTATTAGCTATCAAACAGAGAAAACAGTACCTATTTCATGAAATTGTTAAGTCTCTGTTATATCCCACAGGTGTCCAGCTGATCCTCTTTTCATGTGTACCAAGTAAGTGGATGAGACAATTCTCTGAAATCATTCTATAAAGGAACAAACTCCGTTTCCTGAACCCTCTCCTTCCCCCTCAAGCTGGTACAAGGCTCTCTGTCTTGTCTAATATATGTACTTGGGATGTCAGTCCTCCTCTCTGTGAGGGAAAACCAAGGGAGGGAAAATCTTCACAGAATCACAGAACCTTCTAGGTTGGAAGGGACCTTAAAGATCATCTTGTCCAACCGTCAACCTAACTGACAAAAATAGACACCCGCACAACAAACAAGAAGCATCACCATCACTAAACCATACCTCCCAGCACCACATCAACCTGTCTTTTGAACACCTCCAGGGATGGTGCCTCAACCACCTCCCTGGGCAGCCCATTCCAACATCTGAAATCTTGAAGAGGTTCCCACTGCACGGCAGGTCTTACCGCACCCCACTCCTGCAAGAGCTTGCCCCCACAGTAGCCCCCTGAGCCACAGAGGAGGAACTGCCACCACCACAGATGGCCATGTTACGGCAAATCGATCCTTATTTTGAAAAGTACTAATAGAGAGAAAACAGACTAAAAGTAGTGCATTTTGTTACCATGTCTCACACAATCACAATTACCACTGGTGCAGAGACTTCTTTTTCTCTGCATGGAAACAGCAATACAGTCTCTTAAGAAGGCTATCAACACACACTTGAATGTATTTTGTTTCATGTGATATATACTCTCCAAAAACCTCAGCTCCATCCTGTAGCCAGTCCTCTTCCTGAGACCAACCCCTCCTGAAGAATGGAGATACCTCAATTTCTGCACCTTTATTGTAAAGCATCATAAAACTGAGATTCATAAACGTTTTGGCTCAGATACAAGTCACACTGCACATAAAAGCCTGCTTCTCTCACTTCGTCTCACTTCGTCTCTCCTCCCTCTTCCCCAGTAGAAATCCATGATAATTGCTCATGGTCTTCCTCAGTTTAATATCTTCCTCTTCACACATCAGCTCAAAACAATTATGGAAAGAGCAAGAATAAACACCATTCTTCTTATGGTACTCTTTGGCTTCTTTTCCACCCTTTTAAATGCTTAGTCTCTCACAAGAACTAGCAAAAAGATACAGATACTGCGTAGTCTTTCTAAAAGACACTAAACACCAGATTTTTCCTCTTTCTGGCCGCAAAGATCGTGCTGCTCATCTGCTTCAACGTGACTGCCCTTTTCAGCATCCTCATCAATTTCTGAGCCTGACAAGTGATTTTTCATTCTTTAAATAGAGTCGCCTCTCCTGTTTGTAGACCAGTATCCTATTCTGACCTGTGCGTTCGGACAGATACAAATTACAGCTTGTGAGCAAAATTATGTTTTTGAGCAGAACCTCCCGAAGGCCTTAAGAAACCAAACAAAAGAATTGTTAGGGCTGCTTTTCTGGAACCACTGCAGCGGACCCAGTCTCACTCCATGAGCGACCAAAGTACCACAGCTCCCCACTGGTTTGTCCCAACACCACGGAACGAATCCTGCCAGAGAGGGAAAAGTACCATGTTACCGCCTAAATGAATTCAGACGATCGATTCAACTATCAACAAGAGCATAAAAGCTTCTGGAACACTCAGAACAACGACAAAAGTTTTGGGAGGCATCTATGGTTACTTATCAGAACTTGAAATCTGTGAATAATCACTCTAGTTTTTCAGAGGTATTTGTAAATCAAGTGATTTTTACGGTTTCCATTCATCAGCTTATTTCTAGTTCACTTGCCTAAGTTGAAAAACATTCGTGTTGCAAATGTTCAGACTTTTCCCTTCCTTCTGGTCCCTCACTGAGTATAAACACATTCCTCATTTGTTATTTGCTTTCCACAATAAGCATCACCTAAGTGTTAGCCATTTTATTAGCATTTTTCTTGAATCCAAATAATAAATTAATTTGTGCTCCCTCTGCTGGCTATTTACTTCTACAACTGAAGCACAGTATTATAGAAATATATATAAATTGTGTCTACTATGGAGATATCATTAGTAAAATTAGTACTGAGAAAAACCTGTGCTGGAACAGGAGCAACTTCCCAAATAATTAATTTTTGAGTGTTGTATCTCAGGAATTCTCTGTTTTATTTCTTACAGTATTTATTGCTGAAAGGACTTCAAACTGGTATAACCAGTATAAATGTATTATATTAGACTATATATAATATATACACCATATAAATGTATTATATTACATTGTATAAATGTATTAAATTAAATTAAGGTTAAATACCTAGGTTACTAGATGAACCTTTACATACATAGCAATTTGTTAAAACAAGGGAGAATGGAAAGATGGCCAAAAAAATTAAACAAATCCAAGTATGTATTTTCATCAGTTTGACCGAAGCTACCTGAAGACAAATTCAAAACTTCTTAATTTTATAAGCAACACTATTTTGCATCTTTCCATTGGAAGCCCTCTAGAAATTTTAGTTTCAGAAGTTAAGCAGCTTGTTGCAAAACAGATTAATAGCCTTCCCCCCCAAAAAAGGGAAAAAGCAATATTTTTGTGAGGTCAAATCTATAACCAACTTCTATTATAAAATATTTCTATTTCGTGGAAAATTTATAAGCACCCAAAGCAATTATATACAAATGAGCTCTCACATAATTGATTTTCTGTGATAGGCACTCAAGCTTTCTCCAGTGAAGCTAAATATTATGCTAAAGTTGCATTGAACAACCAAAGCACTAAATGTCAGTTGAGTTTCATTATTTAATTCACTATTTCCCCTTAGAAACCTACCCCAAGCCTCACCAGGCTAGCGAAATGATTGCTAAACTATGTGAAAATATCTTGCTCTTATTCTGATCTTTCTAGCACCTAAAACAATAAAATACCTTAAAAAAAATACAAAAACCAAGTCAACAATGGTGTATGCATCAAATGTGACAACTGACTCTATTTTGACAAAACAGCCTACTTCCACATACGTATACAAAAATATTTTCAAGAATTGTGGTAACGATAATTAAAAATATTTGAATCATAACGTAGGCTCTATTTTTTAATAGAGCCTACACTAACATGGATGACTCCATTTGTTGCTCCATTGTGACAGGCACTGTTCTTCTTCCAAATGAAAATAACTAGAGGGAAAGAAGTAAGGAAAAAGGTAGTAACTCCAGAGAAAAAGCAGAAGATGGTGTTACTAAATAGCCTTTAGTCCCAAGCAGGTGACAGAGGGACAACTGCTGAAGGCCAGAAAGCTTTATGTGTATGGCTGAAGCTATCCTGCTGGTTCGAAGTGCCCAGCTTATTTAGACCCCCAATCTGCCTTCTTCCACCTGAGAAGATGAGTTGTCCTCAGCCAACAGCCACACAGCAGTTTGTGGAAAGTTTAAAAAATAGGAAATTAATTACAGAACCTTTTAAATCCTCATAGCATATAAAAGTAACCTAAGAGGAACTGCCCAGTGAGCCTTGCCCATCTGACATGGTAAGACTAATGCTGTCAATCACCACACTTGTTTTTGGTTTTTTTTGTTTGTTTTTTTAAAAGGTCTTTCTTATCAACATGGATCAACACATTTTCTCTTCAGCACTTCCAAAACTTTGAGGTTAGGCTCCTCTAACACATGACTGCAGTACATAGGCCTCTTAAAAGCTTCCATTCATACTTGGCACCTGTTTAACTACACAATAACAATTACATTCAGTTAAATTATCTTGCCTCCAACCACTCTAAAATTTGAATATGGTTCTGCATATTTCACATGAGGAAAATCCTGCAATATTCCCATGTTTGACAAACTACAGAGTAGCAAATTAACTAGACAAAAAAAAGGGTAACAAATGTCTTGTTGTAAGACTACTTGATTTTTTTAATATCCAGCATTAAATAGCTTTTCTCTTATTCTTAAATTCTATCATAACTAGAGCAGCAATATAAACTCATACTGAACTGTACAAACAATTTATTCCTATCAGAATAATTACATCAATGACAAACCACGAAATGTAAGCCCAGTATTTCACTAAATTGTAAAAACCAAGCAGTTTCCTCCCATTTGGTGTGATTTTAAATATTTTAGATACATACTCCATAAGGACATACAAATTACTCCAGTTAATCACTCTTAGAATGTATACAGACAGATGGATACAGATATAAAAATCTCCATCGTGTCCCAAGTATCACAAAAATACATTTAAGAAAAATCAGAATTATCTTGAACATTAAGGAAAGTCTAATGAGGAAATCTGTAACTGCTGACAGCAAAATGAAGCCATCACCTCTTCAATAATACCAGTTCAATAATTAGATAAATGGATTAAACAGGCTACACTGGAAAATAGTTAATAGGTACTAAACCTGATATGTAGGGTCCTGAATGTAAACCCTGAACGTAGGGTCCCTGCTCTCCAGCGGTTCTGAGGTGACACCTGAAATCTACTGTTTATGTTATTTACTGTATTTTCTGTACTATATTGGCTCCACGTGGCCTGGTTCAGAGACACAAACACATACATGAAAATAGAGAGTTTTAAGACCTAGCAATACAGAATATGGGATACAACATAACCTGTATTGAGGAAATCAAAGGAGTTGCTGCAAAACCATAACCTTTACGTAATGTTACGAGTTCTTTAAAGCAAGGATGTTAAGAAATTTGATCATGGATCAGGTGTCGTTACCTGCACTACAAAATGACCTAGAAGGCTCTACAGATATCAGGAAACCACTGTTCTAAACACCACATAACCATATAAAAAGGAATACTGAAAAATTGGAATAAGTGAGAAGACATTACTGTTGATAGCCTTCTTCCATCCTTTCTCTGGAGACATCTAGGCTAAACACAACTGCTGAAAGCATTCCTTAAGCTTTCCTATAGGGCCACCTTTATCCAGAGACTTGGACAACATATGTGTGCTACTGCCTTGGCTCCTCTGTCCTCAGACCCATCACACCATTTTGCCCCTTCATATCACAACATATCGTACCCTCGCACCACTGCACACTCCAGGACTGCCAGCTTGTCCCACTCAAATCCCACTCCACGTGCACACTCCTCTTCCTCATATAATCTCTTCCCTTCCTATATTAAACGGCTCATCTGTGTTAAAAAAAACAAACCCAACCTGGGCAGCATATTTCTTTCCTTGGTTGTGGGAGATTAATCTCCTCTAAAACCAAACTGGGCAGCATATTCCTTTCCTTGGTTGTGGGAGATTAATCTCCTCTCAGTAATATTCTGGTCTTTCTGGCTTGAGCTCAAATAACCTGAAGTAACACCCATGTGAATAAGGATAAGGTAAAAAGAGAAAGGAAAAAAGAAAAAAAAAAGAATACTTGAAAGTTTTTTATAGCTCACTTTTTGTGTGAGTAGGTGTAGCTGCACCGATATAGAAAGGAGTACTCAATGTCAAGCTATAAATAGCTCCTGCTGGGAGCCTAATAGCTCTGCCTCTGCTTTCACACAGCACAGGCAATAAACTAGCACTATTACATTTTTACAATTCAGGAACAAACAGATTTAAGGAAAAAAAAAGGTTTCTATTTCCACAGCAAATCCAATAAAAGAAACATATTTATGTCATATATAAGGCTGCGTTTATAGAGTATACTCACATTTGAAATAAAAAGACCTGAAGTTGTAAAAATATAATGCTTTATTCACTGGAGAACTCTTACCTCCAAGAAAGTGGCAGGATTCAAAATATACAGCTATTCATTAAGAAATTTTATTTATGAAAGGATTATTATTTACGACTTGAAGAATATTTATACTGCCCATTATGTATCCGCTACCAGCATAAATCTGACATCAAAATCAGCTTTGCAGAAGACACGATAAATTCACTTGAGATTCTTTTAGAGATGAGAGTGAAGGAGGGGGGAAAAAATGCAATTTGCTTTTAATGGAGACACAAACCACACACGGCAACAGTCCAGAATAAAATGGTAGAAACTGTACTGCAAGAGCAGCAAAAGTGGTAACTGCTTTCAGTGCTTCATAAGCCATGTTTTCATTTTAGTTGCACAGATCACTCCTTAGTTGTGGTAAGGTCACTGAGCTGGTTTGGTTTTCTATAGCTTAACTCTTCCTAGGGGAACTCCATGGCAGTGCAGAATTTCTGGATGCCTCTAGAAGTAGGTAGAAACAAGTCACTGCACCCAGTGCTATCGCCCTGCCAGGGCCATCAGAAAGCTGTCAGCAGGAAATATTTGGAGCATAGTTTCTAAATAAAATAGTGGAACAGATCATGCATGATTTAAAACTATTAACAGTACTTAATTCACAGCATTTCCTTACCGAAAACCCTCTACAAAAAGAACCCTCTGTGTTAATACACAGATAGCAAATCAGGCCTGAATTATGTCCAGAATTAAGAACAACTCAAGATGTACAGGTTCCAGCCTCAGACCACTTGAATGTTTGTGCAAAGGAGTTATACCCAACATAAAACATGTAGTCTGTGAGCCACAGAGAAGAAACCTAGCTCTGGATCTAGGTGAATACCTTAAATGGCAGCATTTTTCTCTTTTCGTGGCCATGCACAGTAGTTATAACCTAACCAGAAGCTGTGATTCTCCAGAGAATGTAGTACACAACATGTAATTAACATTTAACTAAACATTATCATAGCACAAAGGCACAATAGGGCCAAAGAAAGAACAGAGACCCCTGGGTTACCTCTGGTGGTCTGATCTTACTCTTTAGTCCTGGAAGCAGCGTGACCATGATAACACAACACCGTGCTTCTCAGATTAAGCTTTTGTGGGCAAAATTCTACTGTATTGGTCACTATTTAGAACAACAAATAGGAATACTGCACAAGATAGTCCAGGATCTGCACAAGATAGTCCAGAATCTCCGTTTAGCTTTCTGGTTTGGAAAACAACATGGAAATCATGCTCACTCATGAGCACCATTAAGCCAAGAAATAATTATATCATATTGCTTTTCCAGATTCAGAGCTGGGAGCTCAGAAGTTCGATGGCTTTCTAAAAGAAACTGGATTTACTACACAAAGCAGTTTTTGCAACAAGACTTTGTTAACAGCTGACTGCAAGAAAGTGCTGCTTGCCAAAAAGCTTACCTTTCTTTCTTTCAGTAACTGCTTGTAGCCACTGGCACCCAGAGACAGAAGCGTAATGAGGACATCTAAGGAAGGAGACGCAGATGCTCTTCCTGAAAAAAACCCCAATAGACAGAAAAAATTGGCAAAAATAAATTTTATGTGAAAGAAAGCTGATAATCAAGTTTTCTACAGTTATTTTGTATGGATGAAATCAGTCCATGAACTACTTACCTGGATACATTTTGCTGATCTCCTGAATGAAGGGCTCATTGAAGCCAGCAATGATAGCACCACCTACTGGAACCATAAAATTTTTGTCCAAGCTCTGAACAAAGGCATCTATTCTGCCTACTCGAGCACCCTTTATCAAAAAGGAACACGAAAAAAAAAATCATAATCCACAGCATACATTAGGAAAAAGGAAACAGCATAATTACACAGCAATGTAACCAAAATAATTTCTGAAACCCTCTCAGATAGTGTGATGAAAATTAAAAGTATTAATATTACCTTTTCTTAGCATTGTTCAATATAATTTCTGAAACTCTCAGTGTGATGAAAAATTAAAAATATTAATATTACCTTTTCTTAGCATTGTTCACTATTATTACTGCTGTCTGCTTACATATTACCTTACAAATTCCTATTTTGTTATGATTTAAAACACTGACTTTAGTTCCTGCAAGTCTAAGTGTAGCTTATTTTCAACAGGAAAACCTGTTCAAAGGCTTTCAAAAGGAAACCCTGGGAATTTCATGGGAATTATACAGTTAAAATTGTCCAACCCAAATCATTGCACAGATTCTCACAGTAAAGGGCTACAGGTAAATGCTTCATTAGCAAAGAAGAAGATTTTTCTTGACACATGTATAAATTTGCATTAAAACAAGTCAGTTTATAAGGCTGCTTGCAAAATTAAGATCCAGGTAACTTCCTATAGCAGATTTCCCCACTTCCCAGAAAGCAAAATGTCCTTATACCTGGCTGCTCAGATATTCTTAAAGGAAAAAAGCTAGACTCTGCATTACAATTCCAATTTGAGTAATATGCTACTGTGAGCTGTACAAGTATGCAGCATAACAGAAGCTAAAGAACATACATATTAAAGCATATTCAAATACATACACAACGTAGTACACACTAAAACCAAGAAACAGAAACAAAGTTAATAGCTATGGCAAAAAAAAAGGGAAAAAAAGCAGATGCAACTAAACCACAGTTATTATTTCTGTATTTTAATAGCTGAGTGCATGGGAGATGGGAAGAAGCACTCTGAGTTTGTCAGCTCTTTGATGGGAAGGTGAGTGCCAGCAGCCATCATTTGATTTAATTGACAGGAGACCACCAGAGGAGAAGAACAACAAATGAAATGGTCTCAAAAGCTCTTTCCTGTAATACTCTTGCAAGTTCTGTTCACACTGTGCTCAGCATGTATGTATTCCTAAGTATTCAATAATAACTACTTCTCATAGGCAGGATATCTTCCAGCACAGGAAACACATTTTTGTAAATAAATGTAAAACAAATCAGAGCTTAAATGTATACATTTGCATACCCAAAGAACAAACAAACAAAGAAATCCCCAAACAACCTATCCAGAAGCCAAAACGCTAACAGCTCTATTTGTAGCCTGAAAAGATTATCATTAGATCCATTTCAGGCAGTAAAACTCAAGCAATTCCACAACCCCCTTCATGTCAGAATTTCACTTGTGCAAGTTAAAGACAATAAATATGTAACGAGTATATTACAAATAAAGCGTTTTCCATATCTCTTCCAAGTTTTGTCAGATTCTTTTGGTCTCTCAAGATTTAGAAATGCCAACATGACGTTCCTGTCATAATTATACACCAAGTTGGCCTGTGCCCAGTTAATAACAATGTCTTCTGGATTAGAAAAAAAAAAAAGGGCAGCATATTTTAAATTCATAATAGTTCAGGATCCCCTGAATCCTGTTAAAAAAGATAAATCCCCTATTATTTTGATATGGGCAACAGAGAAAAAAGTGAAAAAACAATGCATGTACACTGCAATAAGCAAAAATACAAGAATTCTTAGTTTCATACATGATCTCAGATATTAAGCAACCTCCTCTTCAAGCTAAACAGGAACAGAATTTAAACTTTTTCAAACACAACATGGAACCTAACCCCATTTCCTCAGTTGCTCTCTCTGCCAACAATATTTTAACAGTGATAGCATCTATCAAGTGTTGCTGTAGAATCTTGTACCTTTAACTGAAAATCTGTAACTTATATTCTGTTGAAGACTTAATCCCTATTCAAGTGTGATCCATTATTTTAACTTTAGTTAATAAGTTTATAAAACATTTTAAGAAAGCTTACCAAGGACATTTTATGAAAGACACTTCAACATAAGCAAAATCCAAATAAATTTGGTTTTAATATATAAAAAGCACACAGTAATAACAAATTTAATAATACAATATAATAAACAATACATAACAATAACAAAATAAATATTATTTTTAATTTCTATTTCCCTCTGCTGCGCGCTCTCAGAAAATTTTTCAAATATCAGACATGCAAAGCTGTGAAACACTCAAAATATGCTACTGTTGCTTATAATCAGAGATTTACTTATATTTATTAAAAGAATTAGTATTAGAAATATACAGCTCCTACCTGCTGGATGAGATGCATACATTTTGAAGACTGAACTCCATAGGCATTGTTGACAATATGGGGAATGTCATATTTAGCACAAATCACAGCCAGTTCCTCCAGTCTACGAGCATAAAATTGTAATTTAGAGAAGCATTAATAACTGTAACTCATGTTACAAATCAGACCATTAAAAGACTGAGAGGTCTACAAGGAGGTCAGAATGAGATTAGAAACTTTTTTGATTAGCACCTTAAGACAGCATTTGTCACCTTAAGCTATAAAGGTTAAGAAAGAAATTCTGGTAGCTTTTATACATATTACAAATTGTTGACCTGGGCTGAAATTTTTCATGCTTCACTGAAAGTTTTGTTTGGAAACCAGTAAATAGATTCCAAATCATTCTGCTTCACATATAAGCACTTCTTTTATACTACCTTAATGATAACTATCAGAGCTTTAGTTATTCACACTTTTTTTCCCTTTTCTTCTAATATTCATCCTGAAAATGGACTAATGGAAGTTCCACGATGTGTCCTGGGAATCAAACGCATCATATAACAGGAAGTTTTTACATGCTGCTGTTTATTTCAAAGAACTAGTGTTTCAATCCTTTGGCTGAAATCTCACTTGCATATTTCATATAAACTGATTATCAGAAGATCTTTAAAGGAATGGAGAACCCTAAAAGGATTAAACATGGAGATCAACAAATCAAAACTTTGTTCATCTGTTTATTCAAAAATAAAGACAACTCCTCCCTTGCCTTTAGAAATCCCTGAAATCACAGTGAGCTCTGCCTGGATTGATTTCTCAAACTAGGATTTATGTGGGTGCATTGGTCATTTTGGGTAAGGGTCTTCAGCCTTTTAAACATACATGTACTTAGTACATTTTTTCGAAGCACTCCAATTGTGCTTGACTTTTTAAAAACCTCTTTATTTTCCCCAGACTTGCAAATATATTTTAGAAATGAAATCTATTTGAAAAAAATACATAATAATTTAAAGTGATGATAAAGGTAATATTATTAAAAAAAAAATCAGTAAACTCTAAATCGCCAATACATTTTTACTCTATCTCCCTCTGTACAGCTTCTCACTTTAATTTACTGACATTCACATAAAATGTGACTGAGTATGAAAACATTTTCCAAGAGGTGACATTCCCTTGCTTTCTATTTCTATTACATTGCCTGGTGTTGTCTTGTAACTCAAAATTCAGCTGCAAACCTCAGATTAAATTTTCAGAACCCAAATCCTTAGGAAAACATCATCACCACTGTTATTATTCTTAAAGAAATCACAGGGATTTTGTGATTGGGAAATACCAGTAGTATAATGTACGTATTGATCTTCTGCAGTCAAGATACTCGTCAGGAGCTCCATGTCCAATAATTTTTCACATTTATCAACATCCTGAATCCTGAACATTATGCAACATTAACAGAACACTTCAGGAAACATAACACTACACTGGGCAAAGCTTTTGCCTTCTGATCTGCTGATTTTAATCAGACTCATTCCTCACCTTCCACAAAGACTCAAAGAGAATCAGTTCCCCTCTTACACGCTTCTTTTCAAGTGCAGGTAGAGAATTTCCCCAAACTGGAAACATAGAGGCTGTACTGCTATGTTTAGTTTTCCTAAAAATACTCTGTTGAACAATTAGATCCATATCACAACACAGGATGAAAGTGCTACAGTTTGAAAACCACATGTGATTATGCCAGAGAAGCAAACACACACAGCACTTGTCTGCTTTCAAGGCTTAAAATGAACTATTAAAAATGCTGTTATTCACCTCAGAAAAAAAATAAAGCATTAATATAAGGTTGGCTACTACTCAAGTTCCTCAAAGTCACAAATAGGACTCTCAGAAATATTTTCCAGTTTATTCTTTCTTTCTCTCCTGCTTGTGAAAGTTCATGAAAAGAAAGCTTTGCTCTTTCTTCTAGTATTAAAGTAACAAGATACAGAGCTCTTCTAAGTACATAACCTAACTGAAAAATACAGGTTTTTTCTTTTAGTTCTCTCAAACACAGTAGTTTTAGAGACAAATCCCAGCGACAGCAGGTAAAAGACTGAGAACTGAAGTCTCTCCAAGGCAGGCAGTTTATACTCTAGTGAATGATTCCCATAAAGTTAAATACTTCAAGAGAAAGCTATAGGTACGCAGGCGTAAAACTCTTACCCTCACCTTTTATCAATCCTAAGCCACTTAGAATTTTAAGCCATCACCACCACAACTAAACAAAGCCTTAGAAATGCAAGATATTTAAGAGTAGACTTTTAAAATGGTACCCTCCAGAAACGCTGTACGGGATTTTCCTTCCTGTAGGAAGATGAATGTTATGGCCTTCGATAGTTGACAGTATCCTTTAAATAGAAAGTGCCTTCAAATCCTCCTGTATCTGTGGTATATCATAACACAGTGCCACTACCTAATAATTCATCTCTTAGTTGCAGAGAACAAAACAATCACATGTCAAAAAGTGGAGGCAGATAAGGAAAAGATTCATTTACCCGAGCTATAAAATAGACCATTCAATTCTGATTGCTGTGATTTAAGTTGGCCAATAAATCTGCAAGTCAACTTCAAGCAATGTTCATAGTATTCTGACAGAATTATATGGTTTTAACTTCCCTCTAGCAACTGGGTTAACATATGATAAATACTGGTTTTTTTTAAAGGTAGGAAAATGGACTGAAACACATCCTTACTTGCCATGCTGCAGAGTCAATAATCTTTTCTTTCCTACACTTGCAAATATTTAACTAAATTTTTTGCACAAGCTGCAGAGGAACTCTAAACGCAAGTCTTTTCAATTTTGTGATAAATTAAAAACAGTTGAAGTGGAACAACTGAGACACTACATTTAAAACCACATTAAAAAAAAAGACATGTTACTAATATCCTATACTTTGATGTACTACATACAAAGCCATAAAAATATACCTGTTCAATTGTAAAAACTAAGGAATTTGCTTCTTGATACTTGTATTCGTAAAAAAATAAAGAAAGCAGGTTTCACAAGTAACACTGGTCTCATTTTTGATAAATGACTCAATATACCAAGTATTTTAGGCAACTCCAACATGTCATTTTCAGAATGAGAAGTTTTTCAAGTATTTCCTAACCAAGCTACACGCTGAAATAATGTCTTGGATACTCTTTATTTCACATCCACAACCACAAAGTTCATCTCAGCTTCAGCTAGTGCTGGAATGCCACCTTCATAGCAACTACAGAAGTTGTATATATGGACATATAATATTAGGAAAGAATGCAATGTATTTTAAGCTTGTTTTAATGGTGATTTAACAGCTGGAAATTACAAGAAGCATCATGCAATCAGGTAGCAAATGTTCAGGATAAGTTACAGCAGGGCAAATCATACGTTATACTTGTTCAGCACATCTGCCCTAGATGCTTCCAAGAGTTTCCTTACATCAGTATATCTTAATTAGCCCTATAAACGTCAGTATAATACAGGAAAGAGTAACTCAAGCGAAGATTTTAAATTAACAGCTTAGGAAAATCCATCATTGGCTAGAGGAGAAGAGTAGAAAATGCAACACTGATATTAAAATGTGGCATTAGCTATGGAGCTACATTTCCAGGACTATGTTTCTATGAAAGTCTACTTTTACTACTTCCATGAAATGACAAAAAAAACACTGCCAAAATGACATTCATTCCACCATAAGAGATCATTTTTAACCTCAGTTATACGACAGAAGGAAAACCTTCTGCATTATTCTCACTTTTTTAATATACTTTTCCAGAAGGGGAACATTGTTTCAACCTGCCATTTTCCTTAAGGAAGGGGATTAAAGTAGCTTTACTAATTGTTGGCAGCAATTTTTTTTTAATAGTAACAAATCATATACTTCTTACAAAGACTACTTACCTATCAGGTACCCTTGGAGCAAAGCAAGACGTGGTGGAATGCACACAAAGAATATTTTCAGCACCAAGAGCCTTGATTTTAGCCTCCACTGCTTCAATGTCTGTCCGTAGCTCATCGCCTTCTAACACGTTTTCTATCACCACAGGCTCAAAACCTGACCAAAAAAAGGCAAGTCCTGGATGTTTATCTTCAAATCTCTGACTAATTGTGGGGTTTTAGTTGCAGTATAAATGTGAAAGCTTTTCTTGCTTTTGTTGGTTTAACAAATTCTTTCAGACTTGGATTAAGAACACAGATACATAAATTGGTTTATTGTACAATGTCCATATCACTAAGAACTAGAGTAATATTTTTGTTAAATACTGGACTCCAAATAAAAAGCTTACCTTATGTTCTTTGCATGCAATAGCAAGAGGCTAAAAGATTAATAACCTCTCTCAATTAAAAAGAAAGTGTTTGAGTGGCATTTTTGAAAACAAGGGCATTCTAAAGCCCCTCTAAAAAAGGATGCCATTAGATGTAGCAATGCAATAATGATTATTATGAACAGGCTTTCATTGTAAGCCTCTACCTTAGTCAATCTATAAACTTCCAAATTACTTCTTAAAAGATAAAAAAGTCTACATTTGACATTCTGAAAGTTACCTTTGTCATATTGAAATCCAAGCTAGTTCCCAACTTAATTTTTTTTAGTTTCCAGTTTAAGCTTGAATTTAATTTCAGATGTACAACAGCTGAGCCTCGTAAGATCATTTCTCAAGGATACATAGAAGAAACATTAAAAAAAAAAAAAAAAGGAAGTTTTCCCCTTCTTCTAAATGCTGGAATGTTTCCAGTTTTGGAATGGGCTGCTCAGGAGGGATGTTGAAAAGCCAGAGAGGGTCCATCAGAGGGCTACCAAGATGGGTGCAATAGAGCACTCACAGCTTAGAAAGAAAGGCTGCAAGAGCTAGATTTGTCACGCCTCAAGAGGCTCAGGAGAGCATCTTATAACAGCCCCCAACCATCTGAAAGGGAATTACAAAGAAAAGAGAGCCAAACTTCTTACTTACAAAGGAACTTCTTTACTTTGAGGGTGGCAGAGCCCTGGAAGAGGCTGCCCAGAGAGGTGGTGGAGTCTCCTTCTCTGGAGACAGTCAAAACCCCCCTGGACACATTCCTGTGCAACCTGCTCTGGGTGGACCTGCTCTGGCAGGGGGTTGGACTAGATGATTTCCAGAGGTCCCTTCCAACCCTATATCATTCTGTGAAACTCTCATCGGCAGGATATAATAAGAGGCAACAGCAACAAATTTTGGCTTGAGAGGTTCAGAATAAACAGCAAGAAAAACTTTTTTCATTCAGAGGACACCACAGCACTGGAACTGCCACCCAGAGAGACTATGGAATCTCCATCCTTAAAAGTTTCAAGATTCAGTCAGACAAAGGCACAGCTGACCTAATCTAGTGCTTAAAGACTTATTCTTTCTTTTTACCTGTTGTGGTAGTTGCTCAAATTTCTAGCTCACAAACAAACAACTTAATCAGAAAGGTTTTGTTTACAGAATAAAACACTAGAAACCATATATTCCCATCCTTAAGCTGGTGTGACACAGCAGCAACATCACGTGAGCTGAAGTGACTATTACTTTCTTTAAAAACAGAGAGATGTTCAGTTTACTGAATGAAAGTAAAGGAGAAGGGGGGAAAAGTGATTTCCAAAGCAGTGTAACACAGCAGCAGCTATGTCAATTTTTCCTTCGTGGCTCAACACCGTGTCTTAACACTGACGTAAAGCTCAAACTCTATGGAAGAACTTGGACTAGAATGATGTATTGACATTGTTAGCCCCAGTCTGGTTTTCAATTAGTGATCTAGAAGACAGAAACTGCATTTAATAGATAATTGTTAGATATCTGATACCTGTTTCTCTCTTATTTTTAGATGATAATTATTTTAATTGATTTTGTAATAGTTGTCCTAACTATGAAAAAGGATTAACAGATCAATTTTATTTCCTCACAATAAATGTTTATGTCATCAATAAATATAACTTCCTTAGCTTGGTGCTCTAAATTGAGCACCATATTGCAAAAACAGCCTCACTTTTCTTATATACATGTTTTATTTGTTCTGATTTGATTCCTTTTAAACACCTCTGCATCTTACCTGGACAGAATCCAGTCCCTGCTTCTAGTTGTTTAGTCATTTTTATCTAATGATTCTTTTATGCAAAAAACAAACGTCCTAGGAACTAGGACCAGAATCTATGCCACCACCTGCAGGTATGTGCACTGAGCTGGAAAATTATGGTCTCCCTTACTTGCCCTTTCCTTGATCCCACACACCTGTCTGCAGAAGGGGACAGTTTCAGTGCAGGGACAGATTTCTACCCTTAGCTTACTGGTAAACAAGGAACTCGACTGGAAAGAAATTAAGGTTTGAACTATTAAAGGCACCAAACTCATTTCCCGAGCGAGCTGAGTGACATTGCAAGATTAAAAAACAAATTGGGCAGCTAACACTTCCTATGGTCTAAAAGAAAAGAACGTGCAAATCAGACAGCTTGTCACCTTCTGATCACAATTATTAGGACACATATGCTTTTTGCATAAAACTAAGTGAGAGATTTGAATCACGAGCCTTAGTTTTAGATAATTGTCAGGACAGCAAATCAGGTATCTCACTCTGAGAGTAAACTGTAAGCTCCTTAGTGTTGTGTTCTCTATTGACTACTTTATACACCTTGGTGCCTCAGTATATACCCACGTTTTACAAGGCATTAGGAAGAATTGTGTGATTGCACCTTGGAAACCAGGAGTGCACAAATAAAGCACTTGGAACTACTATGCATTAGACCTTTTCTGGATCCTACTGCCAAGCACAGGAGTTGACCACTCTGCCAGATGATGTTTTATATCTGGTAGAAGAACACACTGTGAAATCAGTCAGCTCTTTCTTACCTGCAGTTATCATTGATTTAAAGCAAGATTTCTGGTCTATACGTGGCCAGATAATGTATTTTGCCTTTGGTCTCTTGTGCCGCAATGTTAAAAAACACAGAGTTAGACTCATGCCAGTTGCCATAGGAACCACAAAGCAATTGGTGACTGTCCGGACACCTGTACATAAAAGAAACAAGTCAGAAATGAACACAAAGAACCCATGACATACCCTCACAAATAAAAGGCATTTTCAGATTTACACTTACCAGCCAGCTTTATGATATCCAGAACTACTGAATTAGTAAGTTTGTTCAAAAGGCTAGACCCTGCAGCTTTAGGTTGGACTGCAGAAATATCACCTGACCTTCCAATTCCATGGATCAACCTAAACAACAAAAAAAAGTTGAAAACATACATCGGTGTTTTTTTTTTCCCACATCCTAAAGCAATAATTCCTGCTGACTGAAGAGAATTTGATTTGATAAACAGTTGTGGAAAATGCTGTATCCAGTGCAACATCAATATCTGCTACAGTGAGTTCCATTATAACAAACTACATATATTCATATGAAACTGTCATTTTATTTTATTTTTTTTTTTAACAGTAGATTAAGAATGTTCCAGTATGCAAGTAAAAACTTTGAGAAGACCCAGGGTAGCAACACCTTTAGCATCTGGCAGGCTTCCTTTTAAAGCACACCTCAGCACTTCTCCATGTGTGTTGAATTAGCCTGATAAATGCTGACATGTTCAGACACAGAACTCCAAGGAAAACAAAAAAAACAGTTGCCTATAGAATAGCACACCATAGGCATAGTGGTATTGTATAGATACTCCCCTGATAAATGCTTCACCTCCACAATGCAAGAATAATATATACTGTGACAAAATGTCCTGAAAAATTGTTAATATATCACTTTGCCCATCTTTTTCTACATCGTCATTTCATCTACCTCATTCTGCTATTCAATATTATGTATCAGGCAATACCACCTCTCTCTGTATTCTGTTTATAAATTATGCTTATATACTGCGCTTATAAATGTCGGATATTATTTAGCACCTTTCAGGAGTGGAGGATCCTTAAACTGTGTATAAAATGTGAGCTTACAGAACTTGCTTTACCCGTGGCTGAAATGCAGCAGCTGCTCAAGTAAGCTACTAACAATATACACCTACTTATGGCTTTAATTCTGCTTCTGTCTTGGGAATAAAGTAAAATGCAGTCTGATGAGCATATGGCATCCAGAACTTCTCGGAGCATAATTTTACAGCTTAAATTTTTTTTCCCATTTCAAGCTATAGATTGAAATGAACAATAGCTTGATAATTAATTGAAACTTGCACATAATCCTCACTCTATCAAAAATATCTTCTCCTCTCCTTCCTGCTGCTATATTCTTAACAGCCTTCTCATACTAATACTTTTTCTTTTCTGCACATATGTACTCCTTCCTTAAGAAGGAATCTTCCCTAAGACTATTTTCATGCACGTATCAACTAATCACACTATAAACATACTACTGAATATAAGAAAATACAAACAGCTGTTCACTAGGAGTGTTTGATACTTTAAAACTACAATATAAAGTAGTTTTTAATAACATACGGATAAAATACTGGACCGTATTAAAAAAGGCAAGTAATGAATGGATTATTCTAAAAAAGGAAGATCTCTGCTTCCCTTGCATGCAGTCAACTCAACGACTTAAATTTCAGCTATAAGCTTATACAGGACATAACCCTGACAAAAGAATTTTGGTTCATGCAAGACTTTCCAACGAGTTATTAACTAAAATTCAATACAGAAAGTTGTATCAACCCAACATTGCATTGCATTTTTTATCTCAAATGCTATCAAGGTCTCAGATAACAAGACACAATAAAATAAACCATTTGAAAGCACTAATAATAAATCTGAATAATTAAAACTGCCAATAATTTGTACCTGTAATGCCTTCGGGCAACGAGCCCTGATGCCACTCTTCCTTCCCTCTCACCCACACCACAGTTGCCCAGAAAGTTATTGCTATCCATTATAGCAAGTTCATGAAGAAACAGTTCAATGGTGCTTTCATCCCATCCATCTTCAGGACATTTCCCCTTAATAATAATAATATAAAGGTAACTATACCAAACTTGAAAATTAAAAACAAACACAACTTTTTGCAACTTGTTTGATTAATGTCACCCTTCTTTCCCACGCTCAACAGCGGTTTGTATTTTCATTATGCTGCTTTATATTATCTAACATTATAAATCTGCATTCAAAGAAAAGTTAAATAATTATTTTTCAATATATTTCGTGCAATTACATTAGCACATCCTGATATTAAAAGAGTCAGGATATTTTTCACTTTCAAGTGTTACGTTACACAGAAAACCACCGCGCCACATATATGTTAATTACTCCCTAGAAGCCTATAGATTATTTGATGCGTTCTCTAGGCAAGAAACGACTACTACAGGGATTCAACAGAGAACTGGATGAAAGGGAGCTAACTGGGTATTACAGAACTAAAAATATCAATTGAGAGCAGAAGGGAAACAGGAAGATGTGTTACAGGTGAAACTCTATCTGCATCGTTTCCTTTCCATATTCTCTAAGTGAAATATAGAATATAACGTGTCCAAATTTGCTGACACACTCTTTTTTTTGTGCGGTGCAAGGAACTGGTCCTGTGAATTGCAGGAAAGGTACTCCTAAGGGGAAAGGCACTCATAAACCCATGAAGCTTTACTACAGCAGCTCAACAGTCCAGGAGCTTTTTTTACACATCCCAGTCAGAGTAAAACCAATTAATTTCTGAAGCATGACATGAAAGTTAAGTTTGAAATAGAGGATGGTGTGACCAAAGACGTTCAAAAAGTGAAACACTTGAGAATTCACTGCTTAAGGATTTCTGTACACCGGAGGCAAAGAAACACACTCTTTTGGCACCTCACCAGCATCGTTTTTTACCTCATGTAACAACACGTTAGCACCTTGTTGCCTTGAAAAACGTCCTTAAACTGCTTGCTGGCCCTTTCTCAGCAAACGCACAAACCCAAGCCTATCTCTTTTGACCCCCAAACGTTGCCTTTCATTTCGCAGCTCCGTAAAGCCTCTACCCTTACGGCAGGGCCAGCCGAGCTCTCCCGGGCCGGCACCGGGGCACAGAGGGCCGCAACCCCCCCCCCCCCTCCGGGAGCAGCGGGGCGGAGCGGCCCGGATCGCCGCGGGGCTCGGCCCGGCCTGCGTGCTCCCTGAGGGGCCGGCTCCCTGAGGGGCCCCACGCCCGTGGGGGCGACTCAGCGCCGGTTCTCTCCCCTCCCCGGCTCCGCGGGCGCCGAGCGGGGCCGCTGGCGGTTACCTGCTCCAGCAGGGCCCGCAGCCGCAGCTCATGGGCCCGGCGGCCCTGCGCCCCCTGCCGCACATAGGCCGCCGTCACCAGCCGCTCGCTGGAGCCGAAGTTCTCCGCGTTCATGGCCGAGGAGAGCGAGGAGGAGGGAGGGGATTCCTACCGCCGCTCAGCCCCTCAGCGACTCGGCCACCCCCGACCCCGCTGCTCCACGCCGGAGAAGCGCGGAGAGCTCAGCGCAGGCGCCACTGAGGGGAAGCAGGGCCCGCCTTCCCGCCCTCCTTCCCTCCCCTCAGGGAGGCCGGGCCGCCCCGCCGCCGCCGCGCTGAGGGAACTCCCGCCCGCGGGGCCGCCTCCGCCCGGCCCAGGCGACAGGAGGGCTCGGCCTGCGGGCGGAGCGCTGGGCCGGCACCTGCCAGAGGTAGGGAGGCTGCGGCGGCCTGTGCCCCGGAGCCGCCGGGGGAAGGGGAGGGAGCGGGAATCTCCGTTTTCCGCGCTCGGGGTCGGCCCTCGCCAGGCAGCCGCGGCCGGCGGCGCCGCTGCTCCCTGAGGCGGGGAGCCCGCCAGGAACTGGGCGTCGTGGCTGGGAAGAACCTGCTCGTGGGTTGGTTTTTTTTCCCCTCCTAGAGAATCATAGAATGGTATGGGGTTGGAAGGAACCTCTGGAGATCATCTAGTCCAACCCCCTGCCAGAGCAGGTCCACCCACAGCAGGTCCCACAGGAGCATGTCCAGGTGGGTTTTGAATGTCTCCAGAGAAGGAGACTCCACCACCTCTCTGGGCAGCCTCTTCCAGGGCTCTGCCACCCTCACAGGAAAGAAGTTCCTCCTCATATTTAGATGCATCTTTCCATGTTCCAGTTTGTGCCTGTTTCCTCTTGTCCTGTCACTGGGCACCACTGAGAAAAGACTGACCGCATCCTCCTGACACCCATCCTTTAAGTATTTATAGGCATTGATGAAATCCCCCCTCAGTCTTCTCGGGGCTAAACAGTCCCAGGTCTCTCAGCCTTTCCTCATCAGAGAGATGCTCCATTCCCTTGACCATCTCTGTAGCCCTCTGCTGGACTCTCTCCAGTAATTCCCTGTCCTTCTTGAACTAGGAGGCCCCAGAACTGGACACAATAGCCCAGTTATGCCAGCAGGAAACCTAGGACAGGCATGGCACTTTCACCAGGAGCTGCCAGTGAAGCCTCGCCAGATGGAAGCTTACCTGGAGCAGAGGGGTTCCTGGGGGCACCGGAGCTCCTGGCTGCCTCCATTGTCCTTGGCAGCCATAGCAGGTGGCCCTTCATCTCCCTGAGATAGCCAGTTAGCGAGTGTGCAAAGACTGAAGAGGTGCATTAAGTACAACAGCAAGTTTGTTCTAATGTTTGGTTTCAACCAGCCTGTACCTGGTCAGCTGAACTTGTATATGAAGCCTTACCCAATTCTTCTGTTTCACACCTTTAAGCTCAGGTGGTTAATTGGCGTGTGAAAAGTACATAACGACCATCTTGCTTCTGTAGGTTTAATTAGCCCGATTAGGATCTTTCAGGTGTTCTGACAGAGTAATCTTACACACCTGTTTGAATTGTTGGGCTCAGGCTATAATTACAGTCGTTTCTTAGCCCTTTTGAACAGCAAAGAGCTTTGCAAGTCGAATTGTCACACTCCTTAGTCCCCTTAGTCGTGCGACACCAGGGTTGTTAAGGTGTGTGTGGGGTTGCTGTAGAAATACCGAGCAGCTCTTCATCTCGATCTTTATTTTAAATTATCACAAGAGGGCGCTCACCTAAAGCTAAAAGTGCACGGTTCTTGTTATTCCCTTCATTTTTTTCCCGTTTTTTTTTTCCCCCACTGCAATGTTTCCATACGGCACTCAGATATATATGCTGTAAGCAAATGACAAAGTGTGCTCCGTGGATTTGAAGGGCAGAGACAAAAGTGTTAGCGCGATGAAAATGATCCAACTTATTTGCATGATTTAATTGTTAGCAATTTTAATCTAAGTGGCTAATTGAGAGTATTAGCTACCCGGAATTAAAATTAATAGTTTGTTAATAGCTATGACGGTGATGTGTATTTTGTTTAATTATGAGCTGTCGTAGTGTTTCAGCTCTGTGCTGCTGGAGACTGGGGCAACGTAAAGACTTCGTTAGATCAGGAGCTGTGAGCAAGTTACAGAACTCTCGTTGCAGTAGAAAATCATAGAATCATACAATTTGTATGTTTGAGTTGGAAGGGACCTTAAAGATCATCCCGTTCCACCCCCGCTGCCCTGGGCAGGGACACCTCCCACCAGACCAGGTTGCTCCAAGCCCCATCCAGCCTGGCCTTGAACCCCTCCAGGGATGGGGCAGCCGCAGCTTCTCTGGGCAACCTGTTCCAGTGTCTCACAACCCTCACAGCAAAGAATTTCTTCCTGAGATCTCATCTAAATCTCCCCTCTTTCAGTTTAAAACCGTCACCCCTGCCCTGTGGCTCCACTCCCTGTTCAAGAGACCCTGCCCATCTCTCCTGTAGCCCCTTTAGGGGCTGGAAGGGGCTCTAAGGTCTCCCCGGAGCCTTCTCTTCTCCAGGCTGAACAACCCCAACTCTCTCAGCCTGTCCTCACAGGAGAGGTGCTCCAGCCTTCTGATCATTTTTGTGGCCTCCTCTGGATTTGTCCCAACAGGTCCACGTCCTTCCTGTGTTGAGGACTCTATTTAAAATTAGATAAAATCTAACATTTAACTGCATTTAGACATACACTAGCATGTTTAGATGAGTCCCTAAACCAGAATAACTAACTAATGATTTTTTTCTTGTTTAGTTTATTCAAAAGGAAGAACTTAGAAACTTTTTAGAAACCTGTGGATGAACTGTTGGACAGAACATTGGTTGAAACAGCCACAAGTGACTTGTAACTAAGGGGAGATGCGGTCTTCCTTGAAGGTCTGCTGGGCAAAATTCAGATTTAGAATCTCCCATTTGGGTCTGATCTTTTCGTTTGCTTCACTCAGGAATCAACATCGATATAACTTTCTGTATGGAAAAATGACCCGTGGTTGCTTTCATGTAGCCTTCCTGTGCTTGTTTACTAGCCATAAAATGGCCTTTCATGTGGAATCGCGGTTGGCTAAATAGGTTAACTTTTAACAGAAAAGAATGGAAATGGAAATGCAAGTGTGAGTGGCTTTTGTCAAATGTTACAGACATTAATATTTGGATAAATAAATGACACTCAACTTAGTTCCAAAGTCCTGTGGCGGGCAGGTAACCTGAGACAAAACAAACGGGAGTCAAGCCTTTCGGTAAGGTTTTATTTTGTCGGTAACTAAGCGTAGTAGTTTTCTTTCTGTTTCATCTAGGTAACGTACGGAATGAGCCCTTATATCATGAATAATTATGAGAATAATGAATAACAAATACACGCAATTACCGTTTTAGCTGAGAGCTGATTTCCTCCCAGTATGAGGCAGAATCCCAGGTCTGTATGAGCACTCCATACGGGAAATTTTCTCCCGTATTTCTCCAAAATCTTTAAGTACTGCCCCTCTTATGTGGGGTGGTGTGGGAGATGACATCCAGCCGAGGTCTGACGCAGAAGGGTGCCGGGGTTAGAGCTGTATTCCCTTTTTTCCCATTAATAACAGGAAAATGGGTGTGGGAATAACGGCAAAATATTCACCTTGGGTTTGGGCTTTCTTTTGGACATGACCACGACGGGGTCTTTTAAAGCGTGGGGAGGCAGAGCAGCTGGGTAGTGAAAATGATGATCTCTGGAGATCATCTAGTCCAACCCTCCCAGTATGAGGCAGAATCCCAGGTCTGTATGAGCACTCCATACGGTTTTTCCCAGTATGAGGCAAATCCCAGGTCTGTATGAGCACTCCATACGGGAAATTTTCTCCCGTATTTCTCCAAAATCTTTAAGTACTGCCCCTCTTATGTGGGGCGGTGTGGGAGATGACATCCAGCCGAGGTCTGACGCAGAAGGGTGCCGGGGTTAGAGCTGTATTCCCTTTTTTCCCATTAATAACAGGAAAATGGGTGTGGGAATAACGACAAAATATTCACCTTGGGTTTGGGCTTTCTTTTGGACATGACCACGACGGGGTCTTTTAAAGCGTGGGGAGGCAGAGCAGCTGGGTAGTGAAAATGATGATCTCTGGAGATCATCTAGTCCAACCACCTGCCAGAGCAGGTCCACCCAGAGCAGGTTGCACAGGAACGTGTCCAGGTGGGTTTGAATGTCTCCAGAGAAGGAGATCCACCACCTCTCTGGGCAGCCTCTTCCAGGGGTCTGGCACCATGACAGGAAAGAAGTTCCTCCTCATGTTTAGGTGGAACTTCTTATACCTTAAGCCCTCCGCAGTCTGGCACTCGGGGGGTCGCGGCCCCTTTAAGGCAGGTGGCGGGGGCGTGGCGCCGTGCTCCTCGCGCATGCGCGGGGCGGTGCCGGCAGCCGGGGCCGCTGAGCCGGAGGTGCCGCCGGCCGCGGTCGCCATGGGCTGCGGCGGAGGGGCCTGAGCCTGCCCGGCGGCGCCTCCTCACACCGCCCTCGGCTCCCCCCCCGCCCTTTCCATGGCGGAGCCGGCTGCTGAGGGGCGCGATGAGCGGCTGCTGCTCCTGGCGGAGCCGGCGCCTCAGGGAGGGCCTCCCTGGGGGGGCCCGCCAGGGGGGAAAGCCGCTCCCGGCGGGGCCGTGAGGCTGTGTGGGGAGCTGGGGCTCCAGGAGGAGGAGGAGGAGGAGGAGGACTCGGGTGAGGAGGACTCGGGGCCCGAGGGGGATGGAGAGGACGAGCCTCTCCTGCGGGCGTCGGGCGCAGGCCGCGGCCGCCGAGCGGGTGCCGCCTGGGAGAAGGAGCCCCGCGCCGCCGCAGGTACGGCCCGGGGCCGCCGCCTCCCCGCGGGGGAGAACCGGCGGCGGGGGCGGAGGGGTTTGCCCGGGTGTCTCCGGGAGGGAGAAGTATCCCCTGTCTTGTCCTGTCCTGCCAGCGGGGCTAGAAAAATAATCTCAGGGGACTGATGTGGGGTCGGCGTGCCGTGGCTGAGGGGATGGGGGCTCCCTGGGGTGTCCCCCCCTCACCGGGAGCTTGTTGCGAGCGTTTCTGGGAAGGCACGGTGTCGGCGAGGGGCGGAGGAGGCCGGCATGGGGGCTCGCTGGCTAGTAGCCTTGGAAGGGAAAGTTTTGTGAAGGGCTCGAAATCCAGATGCTTTGTCCTTGCGTGCAGCGCGGCACGAACTCATTTACATCTTCATCAGCGTCTCCTCTGTTGCTTCTCCTTGTTCTCTGTCTTGTGTTTTGTTGGACTTTGCTTTGTTTGTTTGTGTCGCTTTTTTTTTCTTTTTTTGTAAACTCCTGGCTTTGCATGTTTGACAGGCTTGTGTTCTGTGGTGGGACTGGCTGCTGCTTCCTGAACACTTGGCGAACTCTGTCAAGCTTTCTGTTTCTCTCACTTATTCCAGCAATTACTCGTAACCCCCCACCTTTTCATCCTGTAGAAGATATTTTTTTTACTCTGTTTCACTTCTTTGCTCCAGTCATCTGTTCACTTCTTTGTACCATCACGAGTATGAAGAGTTGTAAATGTGGGCTCTTCTGTCATACTTTTGGCTTCCATAAAAATTTGTTTGCTTTCCATGTTTCAAAATCCAGTCTTGAAGAGAGAAAGAAAAATGACGTGAAAATGCAGAAATGCGAGAACTTAAGTTATGAGTTTGAAAAGAAGCATAAGCCATTATCTAATTCTAAATATACAGGCAAGATGATAAACTAGACAATACTTATTGCTTACTTTTTTCTTTAGACTTCTAAGCTTTCTGATTCTCTGCGACTTTGAAAATAGATGTATATCTGTACATTGCTGACCGAAATCTGCGGACTTCTATTACTAGAGTAGTGTTTGCTGTTGTAATTACACCATAGGATTTCTCTCCAGAGACTGGTAAAAATTGTTCCTTTTGCAACAATAGTGTATTAAAAAAAAGTCCAAACAAAACCCCCATCAATTTGAGCAAATAAGTTATGCTAGTAACCTTTTTTTAGTAGCCATGGAGAGCTTTTGCTAGTGTACTGTGCTTAATCGTAAGAAAAAAAAAAAAATCTCATCTTTTAACTGATGGTCCCAAGAGTAAACCAGACCTGTAATGTGAACGTGCTGTTAAAAGGTTAGAGTTCTCCTGTCTTGTTCCCACAAGATGTAAGATGTGTTAATGAGACAGTGCTTCTAGCAAAGCTTAATATTTATGCTTTGGAGTGGAGACTAGAGCCGTTAGTCTTGCAGTGCTGGGGAAGTGAAGATGGTAAATGCAGAGTGCTTCTTGGGATCTGCCCCAAGAGTGTGAAAGAACATCCCAGAACTGTGAGTGATGGTGGCATCTCATCTCTTGCTCTCGTTTCCTTGTCCTTACCTTTTCTGTACACCTAACACTTGAAGGAACAGGATTGTTTCACCCGTCAGGTGGAACAAACACACACCAGATGTTATTCAGGCGTGTTATTGCAACGTGGGGAGTGTTTTCATAATGGGATTATGGTCGGAATATGAAACTCTAGAAAAAGATGGAATTGGTTGAAGGGACTACCTTTAATTATCTTAATGTTAAAATAGTATAAAGATAGTTTAGTTTTGAGGGAGCTCATACATGTTGCTATTGCAAAGTGTATTAGTTTAGCTTATGTCTTGTTAACTTGATGGAAGAAGATGTTGAAGTGTCTACATGCATTTGTATCTTCTTTGGCTCGTCCTCATTAAAGTATAGCAACTTCACGGCCTCAGGCCTTGTCCAAATTATTTTGAGAAAAGTTATTTAGCTTGTTAGTTTGTGCGTGTGATCCCTGGTCCTCTCAGTGAGAGTTCAGTGAGAAGAGTAGTTTTCAAGAGCAGCTGCAAGAAAAAAAACCTTGGTTAGTTATACATGTATGTTTAGAGACTATACTGGAATTAAATTGTGACCAAAAGTGGAATTAAACTGTGACCAAAACTTGCTTTCACAGTGGAAAGCTCGATTCAAATAATTTTTGAAGAAGAAACCTACTCGGAAAACCCTGCCACATTCAGCAAATGCTAGCTTCAATTAAAATTACTTGTTTTCATATGGAGAGTGTTGATAAACCAAATAGAAGCTTCTTAAAATCACCTGTTTCCTTGTTTTCAACCTGTATGTTTTTGTATGGCCACATCACTGTAGTAGCAGAGGGTAGCAATATTGAACAAATTGTAAGTTTCAACTTTTTTTTTTTCTCCTCTTCCTTGAAGGAGCATATGGCATGATGGGATTTGTTTGTTTTTAAACTAGATTTTTAATTGAATATATTTTTCCTGCAGTTACCTTTTCTGTTAGAAAAGACACTTAGAGATAGTTGAGGCTTGAATATGGAGTAGAACCCACTGATTCAAAGTGATTTTTTTTCCATAAAAATAAGTGTTTTGTAGGTTTGGGGGTTTATTTCCCTACCTCACTTAAGTACTTTGGCAGGGAAATCTTAGAAGTCTTTCTCTTGGTGGCTGACTATGAAATACATTTCATCATCAGATACAATCAATAAATTGCATCTTAAAATGAAACTGTAGTTTAGAGCAGAAGTATTGGCCAAGTAATCTTAACAGATTCTGATCCAGTGGGTTGTAGTTGTTGATCCTTAAGAGCGAACTGTTACTAGTTCTAAGGTTTCTCTTCCGTTGCCAACTTAGACTAAGGTTTCCTAATGTTTTATGCTTTTTAGTTGTTTTTGTTTGGAAGCCATGCTAATGTTTGTGAGGTCGTTCATGCAAGCAAGGGATAACGTTTTGGAAAACTTCGGAGAATGTACTGTGCTACAAAAAGGTGTTCCAAAACTCTTTATTATTTTTTTTATTTCACTGTCCACAATCTGTTTAGGAGCATCTTTTCTGAATGGATTCTATGTCAGTTCATTTGTCATTCCAGAAGAACGTATGTGTTTCTTTATCTTACATTTCTTCAAGTGCTGAAATAGGAACAAGGCAACTTTATCTCTAAATGTTTAATTTAGAATAATGTAGCTGTTTCTTAATGCAGAAATAAGCCCTAATGCACATACTCATTAAAATGTGCTCAGTAAGAATATGGAATAATCCTAGCCTTAAAAGATACAAGTTCTGAAACTGTAGATTTTTGTAAAGGAATAGTTTGAAAAAGCTTAAAGAGCCATAGAATTACTAAATCCTGGCAACTTCTCTTCTAATTATCTTTCTAAATGTTTGCTTAGAGTCATAGAGTTTGCATAAATGCCTGTGTAGAGCTGATCTTTTGGTTGGTATGTAAAGAAATTCTCCAAGCAGTTGATAGTGTTTTAATGTTGGAATGGTGATGGTGTGCAGTGCTTCCCTGGGATATTGGTGACACTCATCAGTGCTGTGAATAACATCACTGTGTCTTAGCAGATAACGAACATGTTAGCCAAGCTCTTAAAGGAATGGTATGATGCTGTTCTAATAGTGGGTAATGGACAGTTTACTCTCAGGTAGTTTTTTCTACAACAGGACACAAATCTTAGTAAAATTGTATATAAAATCTTTAGTGCTTCTTTTACAGGTGTGATTTTGAAGGGATTTTTTTTTTCCTTATAGTCTCCCTTACGTAAATAAAAATATCCTTGAAAACTGTAAACACTCTGCAGTGCTAGTCTCAAATTAGTTGTTGCAGATTCAGCTGATTTACTTTAAACAAAAGGTTGATTAGACCTGGGTAAATCAGCGGGAGAACTTGCACTGATTTAATGGACTGGATTTTTCAGCCTGCTATTGAATGGGCATTAGCAGGGAAGGCTGTTAGCTTTTTAATGTGTTTATTTATGTTGCTGTTAATTCCTAGTACAAATTACACTTAGGCTTGCTTGTTTTCTTATTTTTCAGGGCATACAGGACATGCTGCTGATATGAATATATTTTTAGATGATCCAGAATTTGCAGAAATTATTCTGAGAGCAGAACAAGCTATAGAGTGTGGAGTTTTTCCAGAAAGAATCTCTCAAGGATTAGTTTGAAAAAGCTTAAAGAGCTGTAGAATTACTAAATCCTGGCAACTTCTCTTCTAATTATCTTTCTAAATGTTTGCTTAGAGTCATAGAGTTTGCATAAATGCCTGTGTAGAGCTGATCTTTTGGTTGGTATGTAAAGAAATTCTCCAAGCAGTTGATAGTGTTTTAATGTTGGAATGGTGATGGTGTGCAGTGCTTCCCTGGGATATTGGTGACACTCATCAGTGCTGTGAATAACATCACTGTGTCTTAGCAGATAACGAACATGTTAGCCAAGCTCTTAAAGGAATGGTATGATGCTGTTCTAATAGTGGGTAATGGACAGTTTACTCTCAGGTAGTTTTTTCTACAACAGGACACAAATCTTAGTAAAATTGTATATAAAATCTTTAGTGCTTCTTTTACAGGTGTGATTTTGAAGGGATTTTTTTTTTCCTTATAGTCTCCCTTACGTAAATAAAAATATCCTTGAAAACTGTAAACACTCTGCAGTGCTAGTCTCAAATTAGTTGTTGCAGATTCAGCTAATTTACTTTAAACAAAAGGTTGATTAGACCTGGGTAAATCAGCGGGAGAACTTGCACTGATTTAATGGACTGGATTTTTCAGCCTGCTATTGAATGGGCATTAGCAGGGAAGGCTGTTAGCTTTTTAATGTGTTTATTTATGTTGCTGTTAATTCCTAGTACAAATTACACTTAGGCTTGCTTGTTTTCTTATTTTTCAGGGCATACAGGACATGCTGCTGATATGAATATATTTTTAGATGATCCAGAATTTGCAGAAATTATTCTGAGAGCAGAACAAGCTATAGAGTGTGGAGTTTTTCCAGAAAGAATCTCTCAAGGATCCAGCGGGAGTTACTTTGCCAAGGATCCAAAAGGGGTGAGCGTGCTACCTCCAAGTCAGAGACACTATCAGCAACGAGTTTAAAAGGGAAAGTTTAAAATTCTATTTAAATGGAAATTCATTTAAATTGTTTAATAATTTATGGTATGCCAAAGCCTATGTTGGAAAAATCAATGCAAGTAATATTTAGATTTCTAATTATGCAGCATAAGCTAAGACAAAATAGCTATTATGTCTCTGTTAGAGTTTTACCATGTTTTCCATGATCTGCACCAAAGAAATAAGGAGAAAGTAAAAGGCCCTCTTTAACATCTGAAAACAATTCAGGGATTCCTTTGTGCAGAATCTGACATTTTGTTCTTTCTATGTTTTAATTGATTTTTGACAACTGAGCTTCTGACTTGTATACTGTTTAGGTGTCTGTAGCCAAGCCTTATGTATTTTTACGTCTTTTCAGATAAGTCTTTTATTTAGGTCATGTCTCTTTCCTGCTGTACGATTGGTAGGTGGGCAAGAAGAGTGATATGAACACATCTACCTTTTTACTTGTACTTGGCTGCTGAATCTTGGAAGGATTTGGTTTCCCCTCCCTGTAGTGGTAAATGGTACCTTCAATAGTGATCATCCAAGAGGTGTCCCAAGGTTACTTTGCAACAGAGAAGTAACAGTTAACCTGAATATCTTGCTTGAAAAGTAGCATTTGGTTAGTGTTACTAGGAGAAAATGTTTCAAACATACTTTCACATTGTTCTCTTTAAAAAATCAGAACTACTTTTTCTGTTTACCGACCTGTTCCCGAAAAAGTAGACTCCCAACCCCGACACCTTTGTTAACTTGTCATATCTGTTTTTATTTTAAGCGCAATCAGCGACCTTCTGGTCTTAGGTAGATGTAGGTGTTCAGTAATCCTGAGGATCCCAGTCGTGTTAGGCGTGGAAGTTGTAACACTTTAAGTGCCTAGGTTTTCAGAACATACTCAAGATTGTTGGTCTTCCTTGCATCCCCAAAATGGCCATTTCCCATTCATTTAGGAAGTGTATATTTACTTTTTTTTAGCTTTTATTCATATTATTGGTCATTACAGAATACATTCCTGTTTTACCACTTAATTTTCATAGATGTTTGAGTTAATTCCGCTTTTCTGGTGACAGTTTTTACCCTTTATTGATGTGTGATCTTTAGAATAGTTTTGGTTTGTTTTTTTTTAGAATAAAAGATGGAAAGTGGCAGAAGTACCCCTTCAAAAATCTTTGAAGAACTGCACATTGCAGTTCATACTCCTGTGTTCCAAGAACATTTATTAGTAATGACTCCCTACGTTCTGGTGGAGGAGAGCCAAAGTAGGCTGGGAAGGAGGGGTTCTCTCTCTCTTTTTTTAAACCAGAAATTAAAAAAAAGTTAAATTCTTTCCCTAATCCCTTTGTGGGATTCTTGCTGTTGTGTACAAAATCCTGTTAATAAGAAAATCTGTTTGAAGTTTCAGCAAACTTTTAAACTTCAGGTCACTTCCCTACTTCAGTAGTTCAGCCCTTTATAGATTTTCAGGTTGTATGCTTATATATACATATTCAAACTTTATACTGTTTCTAAAGAAGTATTTTGAATTAGGATTGTCTTATTTAATATGCAGTAGGAAAAAATCTAAGTAACTGAATACTCGTCTATAACTAGCATAACTAGTGTTATGCTAAAAATGCTTTAAAACTGGTTTGGTGAGGTTTTTTTGTTTTTCTTACTGCTGTGCAGTCGATCTTTTCTTCTTAGAAAGTTACTTAGTAGAGAAATTGCTAGAAAAAAAATATCATACTTGTTCTGTATTTCCATATGTGCAAAACTGTCTTGTTTGAAGCCTCTCCAGCCTGATTTTGCAGTTTTTTGATGACTTACAAATACCTGAGAGACTCACTGTGCCCTGGGGCTAATGAGAGAGAATACTCAGTTATCATTTTTGTAACCGTAGTATTTTGGATGGAGCACCTTCTTTCTTAGGTGGTGATTTTTCTTGTTGGTTTTACTTCTATTTTGCAGTGAAGAGCTGTTTTTTGTTCCTAGTAGTTATTTCATGCAGGTCAGTTATTTGAACGAGTATTTAGGAGAAATGAAGCCTAAACACCACCAATTTTATTTAATTTTTTTTATGGGGGCTAGAACAAATTTATTGCAAAACATGAAACTATTTGCCAACGTGGGACTGTGAGAGTAATGATACCAAGTTCTCAGCTGACTTTCAATTTTGCTGTTATTCTTTGCACTAAATCTAGACCTTATCTGAATTTGTTATCCGTATTAAAGGTCTGATAAAACCTCATTTTGTCAATAGCGCGGCTCCCGTTTGCAGAATGGATTTCATATCCTGTTTGACAGAGTATTGCATCATTCTGCTTCAGACCAGTTTTGTGACTTGCTTTCTCCTATTCTTCTTGAGTAACCTCCTCTTCCTTATGCTGGGAAAGAGCTTATTAAAGACGTGCTAAGCCTTCTTACCGGCCCGCTTCTGAAGTGTTTGCCCACACTAATGCCAAGTTACAGGTAAAATAACCTGTTTCCATTAGGTCACCTTGTTCGCTGGTTTGGGCCTATCAGAAAGATAAAACTAAAATTGCCTGATGAAATTTATTAACTTTTTGCATTAGTTGTATGCTGGTATGAAGTAGTTCAGTACTTCAGCTGAAGCGTTGAATATTTCTGCATTTGTTGTTCGTTGTGTAACCAATAAAGTAAAAGACATTGTGTCTGTTACAGACTGTTTGCAACCTGTTTTTGAGAGTTTAGCTATTGGCTGTTTGGTAATGCCAATGGAGTCAGTCTAGAAATTAATTTTGATTGCAAAATTAAGACTGGCCCTTGGGAGGTTGTCTGCATATTGAGCTTTCTCTTTCTACTCTGGTCCTCAGCAGCAGAGGCTCTGCAGAATTTAGCAAGGGTCTAACTTCAGTGAAACACTGAAGTTTTGATACTATAGCACAGCAGGGTCAGGGTAAGTCATGGAATGAGCAAAGCTCTTTTTAACCGTATTTATTTTTGATACAATAGCACAGCAGGGTCCAGGTAAGTCATGGAATGAGCAAAGCTCTTTTTTCAAAGCTGGCAGTTTGTAGGAAGTATTATCCAAAGAGTCATAGAATCCTAGAATTGTCCAGGTTGGAAGGGACCTTCAAGATCATTTAATCCAACCATCAACGTAACTCTGATTAAAAAACCCCATCACTAAACCATGTCACCAAGCACCATGCCAACTCGTCTTTTGAATACCTCCAGATTCCTCAACCATTTCCCTGGGCAGCTCATTCCAATGCTTGATAACCTTTTCTGTGTAGAAATTTTTCCTAATATCCAATCTGAACCTCCCCTGGCACAACTTGAGGCCGTTTCCTCTTGTCCTGTTGCCTGTGACTTGGGAGAAGAGACCGACCCCACCTTTCTCCACCCTCCTTTCAGGGAGTTGTAGAGAGCAAGGTGGTCTCCCCTCAGCCTCCTTTTCAGATTTAGAATGATTCAGAAAAGAGATGATTAAGGATTTGGCATATACTGCCAAATACATCGCGATGTTTCTTGGAAACGAAAAAATGCTGGTTTTGTTTTGAGCAGGTAGATATCTGTGATTCAACAGGAAAAAAATAACTTCTTAACAATTCTAAACCTGACATTAGAATTTAGGCTAAACTCGTATACCAAGTAAATTCCGTTGCCAAAGTGTTATGACTTAAAAAAAAAAATAATAAAGTATTCAGAGAACACTAGAATTTTGGCTAAAGTCGTATACCAAGTAAATTCAGTTTCCAAAGTGTTATGACTTACAATAAATATTCTATGCAACTTGAAAGGCCAAGATATTCTCTGAATACTTTATTATTTTTTTTTTAAGTGTAACCTTTTCCGCGGGTCTAAATTGAATTGTGTCTGTGCAGCATCTTGGCTTTTTAAGTTGCATAGAATATTTATTTTAAGTGTAACCTTTTGCGCGGGTCTAAATTGAATTGTGTCTGTGCAGTTGCATGGAACTGATGATTTTAAATGTAATCGTACTGTAATCAGCATACTGAAAACAAGAGAATTTTTGTCAATTTGTTTCCTGCACCTGCTGACAGGAAAATTTTATAGGATGAATGCAAATAGTGATACTTCAAAATTTATTTCTCCCGGTAGTTGATGGGGATGAATTGAAATCAGTGGACAATATGGGTGATGGTTACTAATGCCTGGTGTTTTGTGGAATCTGCTTACAAACTGAATGAAACAAGTTCTCTGTAGTTTGTCTTGGACAATCCTTGGACTCGTTAGATTTTCTTGGACAAAGTGGGTGAAAATTCTCTGGATGCTGGAACAAGGGGTCAGGTCCTCTTTCTCATCGAGTAGAATCAGCAGGGGCTGCAGCAAAATGCTGTTTTTTGACTGCCAGCAAATGTTTTTGTGACTTAATAGTGTAAATCAGCTATGAGTGTTGGTGCAACGACAATGTTTAGCTTACTGAGAGATAAAGAAAAAAGTTAAAATAAGGATTCAGGGAAGTACTAATACGTGAAAATACTTCTTAAGCGACAATGTTTAGCTTACTGAGAGATTCACTTTTTTTTTTTAAATAAGGATTCAGGAAAGTACTAATACGTGAAAATACTTCTTAAGCAGTTGTTCTTAATTATGGTCCTGTAAGAAGGAATGAAGATACAGCATTTCTACAGCGTTTCACTTGAGCTTCAGAAGAGTCATGACGTGAACTTTATGTACCAGGCTAAAGTTTATCACAGACGGTTGGAAGGTGATATGTTTTAGCGTGGTGATAATCTTGTGGTTTGAGGTTAACTAAGAGAGAATCACGTGTAGGAGGCTCCTTGAGAAATCACCTATTAGTGCCCGTCTTGTGGAGCAGGATTGTCTTAACATGATTCCTGAGGGATGTCTAAGTAACTTCTTGTTAGCGACATCCTGTTTTGGAGACTCCACAACCTGGAAGTCTGGTCTAGTCTTGAGCCACTCTTAAGGTTCAAAAGGCTTTTTTTCTTTGCAACTTATCTGCTGGGATTTAAGCCTATCATTTCTTGGCTTGTTAACAGTCAATGTGTTTGTTTCTTTTTTCTCTATAGCAACCTGTTCCATGGTTCATTGTGCCCCGTTTTCTCTTAGGCTAAACAATCCCTCTTCATATGGTTTTTCATTATTTGCATTTTTTTGTGCTTATTCTCATTGTTTTTTCAGCTTTCTTTGGTTTGTTAACAGATCTCTTGAAGCATAGCATCCAAAATCTTATGCAGTACCAATAATTTTAAGTACCAGTAATTTTAAGCTTTATTACATGTCTCCAAGGCAGCTGATAGTGTGAGCTGTTGTCAGGTTTGAGTTGAGGAATCTACAGCAGTGGTAAACGACACCACTCTTTAGAATTGCAAAGTGCAGAATGTTTTGATCCATTCTAACTGAAAGCAATAAATAAAATAGATATAAAAGAGAAAAGGTAACGTTTGATTATTAGCATTCTGTATGTTTCTCACTTTCCTGGAACCATTATGTCTCTGTCTGAAATATCTTGTCAATGAGTTAATTGGTGGGCTGAAAATTATTTTTAAAACTACTTTTCAAACCTCCTTTGTTGAAAACTTAGAATATATAAATATATATGCATTCTAAAATGTGGTCTTCTGATTTTGAAAAACTAGTGAATGTTAGCTGTTTTAGATTTTCTCTTATGAAGAGATTATTTTGAATTTGTACTCCTCCTAGGCAAGCATTTGATGATAGATATATTTGGAATACCATTTTGTTAGTTTTATTATTTCATCATTTAAAAGGAACAACTGTAAAATGCAATGTATGATATCTAAAATTATGTTGAAAATTAGTTATTTGAAAGTATTGGCGAATCTTTTGCAACTCAAAGCATTCATATTTTGATTTTTATATTATTTATCCTAGAAAATTATTGGAGTGTTCAAACCAAAATCTGAAGAGCCTTATGGACATCTAAATCCCAAATGGACCAAATATTTTCACAAAGTTTGTTGTCCTTGCTGCTTTGGCAGAGGCTGCCTTGTTCCAAATCAGGGATACCTCTCTGAAGCTGGTGCCTATCTTGTGGATGACAAGCTGGGGCTAGGAGTTGTACCCAAAACTAAGGTAAAAGTTAAAATGCATATATTATTAAATACATAAATATACATAAATATATAGTGACTGATTTGTCAGTCCCTGGACTGTAGGTGTGGAGATGTGCTTGTATATCCTGCTCATTTATAAACTATTCTAAGTCCAAAGATGCAGTGGCTTGGTGTAGATACAGTGATTATGATTTTTGTTTGAAAGGAGAAGGTTGTGATCTGAATTGAATCTCTCCTTTGTAACTACTTCAGTTCCTAGCATTTTTTGACACTTTTGTACTTCATGTTTTGGTGAGATGCATCAGAATTGCAAAAAGCAGCATATAAAGATTCCCTTTTTGAGAGCTGTCAACTAGCAAATATTCAACTTTTCATATAAAATTTGTCTGTTGGAAATGCCTGATGCTTCCCTTTTTTGACAACCAAGCATAAAATATTAAAATTCTTAATTGAAATAATAAGGGATTCTGAGCTGTGGTTTTAACTTTCATATTTTCAGGTTGTCTGGCTTGTCAGCGAGACCTTTAATTACAGTGCAATAGATCGTGCAAAGTCAAGAGGAAAGAAATATGCTTTAGAGAAAGTGCCAAAAGTTGCTAAAAAATTTAATCGAATTGGACTACCTCCTAAGGTAAGATGGAAAATTACTTTCTTGTTGTTTTCCTGATTCTTATACAAAACTTTGAATGGAAAAAACAAGAATATTTGTAGGTAACTTCAGTAGTAGAAGAAAAAACTTGTTGAAAACTGTTTTTGGATGACTGGTTTGATAAATATGACTGTTTCTATGCAAAATCTATCTACTCTGTTATGTCATTCCTTCATTTGAACTACTTTAATAATCTTGACACTTTTTGTATCAGTCTGCAATCTAGCTTTCTGCTGGAGAAGTAACATGTTAAAATGTTGTACATCTGTTACTGTTTGGGGTTTTTTTTTGACTGTTTAGTACATTTCATTTCAGTATCGTGTTTTTATATATTGTCTATTTTTTTCTCCCCTGCAATTTATTCTTTTGTTTTTCCTAAATCTTTTTTTTTCTTCTGTTTGTTTTATTTTTGTAGGTATCCTATAGTTGTGTTCATCCTCCCTTTTGTCTTGTGTGCAGTACTCCACTGACTAAAACCTTACATCTTTCTTGCCTAATGAGCCTTAGTGTATCCCCAAAATATGTTCTACTCCTAAACTTTTAAAACACGGGTTACGTACAGCTTGGGTAACCCACTTCTGTCACTTCCCAGCAGTTTGGATCCATGTGATATACGTTATGCAAGTTTTTATGAGGGTGGTTGTTCCACGTGCTGCCTGTTTATCCACGTCCCTGCATGTGTGCTTCTGCCTGCATTTTACCTCTCGAATATCAGTTACCTTTTCAGTTTTAACCTTGAGCACCTGTCCTGTTGCCCACACACGTGGGGCCTGTGCCATCTGTAATTTATTTTTTTTTCTTGGATTTTTTTGGGAAATGTATTTCAGCTGTTTTGATGCAAATATTATTTGTCTTGAAAAAATGATTAATGCTGCTGTTCTCATCAATGAAACTTAAAAGCTTTTCAGAGAGGAAGATTTTTCTCCTGTAATTTTTGGTGAGTTTCCTATGAACTACTGAACCAAGTGTTTCCAATCAAAAAAGACAATAGATACTCTTCTTCCTCTTTGTCTCAAATATCGTGGCCCACCCAAGTGCATTTTCCATAAGCAGTTTCTTACTGTTCCAGGTTGGCTCCTTCCAGCTGTTTGTTGAAGGATACAAGGAAGCTGAGTACTGGCTCAGGAAGTTTGAAACTGATCCTTTACCTGAGAACACGAGGAAAGAGTTTCAGTCACAGTTTGAAAGATTGGTTATCTTGGATTATGTCATCAGAAATACAGGTATTTGTTAGTGTTGATCTAGTTTTGTGAAGCAGAAGCAGTAAGCAGTGCTGGCTGAAAGCTGTGGAGGAAAGCTTTTAATGCATTTCAGATCCTTTTCTTGCAATTGAAAGCCAGAATGTTGCATTTTAAACTTGAGAAAATTTACTTTGGACTCCAACATTAAATATTGCAATATGACAAAATCCAAACAACCCTTTTTAGCTGTTAAGTGTTATTTTTAAGCAATGTGAGATTCCAAGAATGAATACTTTCATTATGCTTTAATTCTGTCAGCAGGCTATTAACTGTCTGTTTCCCCTGATTAGGATAAGGGTGGTGGGGTTTCAGGAACCATAAGAATAAGCCATGACAACCATCTTTTTTATGCTAAGCTGGAGCCCATAACAGCACAGTTTCACATCAGTGCAAACCAGTTCATACTCATTGTGACCAGGCACTGAAGTATAGTTGGGGTGTATATCCCTGTTTTTCTGCATTCTTTTTTCCTTCACTGAGATGCTGAGACTCCTCTGTTGGCTGTGTAGCTGATTTATTTCCTCAAGAATCCAAAGGCAGGTTTATGTTTAAAATACTTCCGTTGCTGCTCTGTCAGAAAGCGGGCAGCTTTCCACTTCTTCAGGAATACCAGCTCTAGTTCATTTTCCTTTCCTTGAATTCATTTATTAGAAAGGAATGCAGTTGAAAATGAGTCACTCTAACGTGGCTTTTTAGAAGCAAACTAAAAGAAGAAAGTTTCCTAAGAATGTAATACTTTCTAGAGGCTGCTGTGGTCTGTCAGCTTTATCAAGTAGATCCCAGCGTTTCCCGACAATTACTGTCCTGTCACTTTCTTAACGTTGTAAGGAAAATACTTAAAATGCAAAACCTCATTACGTGGATGGTTTTACCTTCATCTCATGTATGTAATCATGATAAAACATGAAAATCTTCTGATGGATGCTTAACCAAACTTAAGGGAGCACCTTAAGATGACAAGGACCTACAAACCCATATAACCATCCTATATCTGAACGACCTTGTCAAAGCCTTCAGTGTCTCACTTTTGTCTGAATGGTGCAGACATTTTTAGCATCTGAATGACTCTTTGGTTTCCACCCCCCTCTATCTTTGAACGGTATGTCTTCTCCATGTAGTCAAACACGGAACTATCTGTAATTTTGGAGGGCCTCTCCCTTTCTCTGGCAGCATTAAAACAAGCTTAAAAAGTCAGTTATAGTGGTTGCTGCTGCTGCCGCCAGTCTTTTTCCCAGGAAAATCTACTACAGCCAGTCTTTCTGCATAAAAATGGGTGAAAACAGTTTCTCTTCGCTTTCATGACAGTTTGCTGATTTTTGCTGGTATTTCAGCCAGTTGGGGAAACTAAAGCAGTAATACATAACTAAAGACACTTGGTAAAATTTTGGTCTTTCCGCTAAACCAGTTGTCTCAAACATTTCAGTAAAGCTAAACCCCAAGTACTGTGATGGGGGGAAAAAACTTTTTGAACAGTTTTGCCTGACTCCTTTGGTAAATTCTCAATTTACAACATCAGTCATTGTGTATCATTTTAAATGATGATGTCTTTATAAATGACATATTGTGACATTTTCTTGTTTAAAGACAGAGGTAACGATAACTGGCTAGTCAGGTACGAAAAACAAGATGATGGACTTGATCTGTCAGATAAGGTAAGAAAATCATACCTTGTAACCTGTGTTCTTTAAATTGTTTAGTTTTATAACTTGGTCTCGCCGGGGATTAAGCTCGTGACTTTAATACTGGTATGTGGTCTCAAGAAATACGATAGCTGCAAATTATTTTAGGTGAAAAGATTGAAAAGATATTTGGACTAGACTAGTCTGGATAGAACAGTGCTGGAAATTATTTTTATTGTTCTGTATTTTTTCTTTAGCTTGGGCTATAAAAATAATTAAAAAAAGCTGCCCACTGTTGCTCAAGCACGTTTCTTCAGCTATTTATGCACTCTGCTCATCTTGTATGTAGTGGAAGAGCTCCTTTTTAATGGTGGTAGAGTAAGAATTATGTGTGTTGGAGTTTATTTGGATATTCCTTTAAAGTTGACTTTAAGCAGTGAAGCTAAAACATATATTATTTAGTATTTTTAATGTTTTTTCACTATTTTTGTAAGCATTTAGGTATCACTTATTTTTGAAATATTCCTTCCGTAGGATAGCCAATGGACTATAACTAAAGAATCTACTATTAAAATTGCTGCAATTGACAATGGTTTAGCATTTCCTTTTAAGCATCCTGATGAGTGGAGGGCATGTAAGTATTGCATTTGTCAATCATCTTCCTTTTGGGAGAGAACTTCCAAATAAGTATTTTTTTTATGTGGGTTATTGGAGTAACAAACTAAGTAGTCATCACTGTAGTTATATATTGAATTTTTAAATAATGTGCTCTTCTTCAGAAAGTTAGCGACAAATGCCATTTTTGCAATGGCATATGAGATTTAGTCCTTGTTCATATTTTTTTACCCTTATACCTTTAAACAATATTAATGCACTAGTATGTTTATGAGTATCTGTGTGTGTGAGCTGACTGGTGGTGGAACTGGAAAAACTCAGTGAAGTGTTTGTCAAGTGTGTTTTCTTGAAAACCATGGTAGAAAATTGAGTGCAAGGATATGCCAGTTGTCTCTTCAACAGCCAAATTTCTCTTTCAATACAAAGGGTGCTGTTGTGGTTGAACAAGTAGACAAGTTACATGTTATTTTTCACTTGTTCTCAGCTTTAGCTTACTTATTAGAAGTAAATTTTTGAGCAGGCTGCAAATTGATATTACTGTTAAAGCTAAATTGCTTCTGACACATCTCTGTTTATAGCTCAAAGGGAAATGCCCAACAGGGTTTACAATTATTTCTGTTGACTATTAGCCAATCAGGTAATTACAGCAGTTAAGCGTGGGCTAGTTTTGAGGTCAAAAGGCTAGTTAATTACCCCACCCAGAGCTCTGTATATCTTGGTACTCAGTAGTTACTGTCCTACATATCTCTTGCCTACAGTCACTCCTGCAGCTGTTCTAGAGACGTGGCAATTACTGCTTATTTTATACCATCTTTTACTTCAGCATCCAAAGTAATAATCTTGGATGGTACTTTAGAGTTCTTTTGCAGTTGGACAGTTCTGTAAAGGTAAACTTGTAGTACAATGTTGTTTAAAATTGCAGACTCGTGAGGGGTAGAGGATGTTTTCTTGATGACTAGAGTTGGTTGATCATCGGACAATCTCCTCAAAGCCAGAGAACAGCCTGTCCGAAAGGCAGGGAGTTGGTCCAGCATAGATGAATGGGGAACTCCTGACTGAGCTGGGACACAAAAATTAAGTTAATTTAAAAAAAAAAAAAAGGATGTAGAGAGTCCCCTGGAAAAAATAGAGACTTTGTGCAAAAGTGCAAGAATGAAGTCTGGAAAGTCGAAGCTCAGCTGGAGCAAAGCTAGCAGAGGACATGAAGGGCAACATGAAAGGCTTAAGTTAATTAGAAGTGAGAGTGAGACTGAAGAAAAGTGCAGCAAGGACATAAAGACAAAAGGCTTAAGAAAGAGCAAGTTACTTAATGCTGACTGCCTCAGTTTTCAATTGGGAGATTTGCTCTCAGGCTCTTAGGTCTCAGAGCTGTGCGAATGAATTGTCACCCAGTGCAGTATCTCTTGAAAAAGCTGTTCAATAGTAATTATGTGAAAAGTTACGAATGTTTTTCACAGTGTGCTTAGAAGAAGGCATTTTAATAAACTAAAGATTAAAAAGCAGTAGCTATTTTTTGTATGTGGGTTATTGGAGTAACAAACTAAGTAGTCATCACTGTAGTTATATATTTTATATGGGTTACTGGAGTAAGAAACTAAGTAGTCATCACTGTAGTTATATATTGAATTTTTAAATAATGTGCTCTTCTTCAGAAAGTTAGCGACAAATGCCATTTTTGCAATGGCATATGAGATTTAGTCCTTGTTCATATTTTTTTACCCTTATACCTTTAAACAATATTAATGCACTAGTATGTTTATGAGTATCTGTGTGTGTGAGCTGACTGGTGGTGGAACTGGAAAAACTCAGTGAAGTGTTTGTCAAGTGTGTTTTCTTGAAAACCATGGTAGAAAATTGAGTGCAAGGATATGCCAGTTGTCTCTTCAACAGCCAAATTTCTCTTTCAATACAAAGGGTGCTGTTGTGGTTGAACAAGTAGACAAGTTACATGTTATTTTTCACTTGTTCTCAGCTTTAGCTTACTTATTAGAAGTAAATTTTTGAGCAGGCTGCAAATTGATATTACTGTTAAAGCTAAATTGCTTCTGACACATCTCTGTTTATAGCTCAAAGGGAAATGCCCAACAGGGTTTACAATTATTTCTGTTGACTATTAGCCAATCAGGTAATTACAGCAGTTAAGCGTGGGCTAGTTTTGAGGTCAAAAGGCTAGTTAATTACCCCACCCAGAGCTCTGTATATCTTGGTACTCAGTAGTTACTGTCCTACATATCTCTTGCCTACAGTCACTCCTGCAGCTGTTCTAGAGACGTGGCAATTACTGCTTATTTTATACCATCTTTTACTTCAGCATCCAAAGTAATAATCTTGGATGGTACTTTAGAGTTCTTTTGCAGTTGGACAGTTCTGTAAAGGTAAACTTGTAGTACAATGTTGTTTAAAATTGCAGACTCGTGAGGGGTAGAGGATGTTTTCTTGATGACTAGAGTTGGTTGATCATCGGACAATCTCCTCAAAGCCAGAGAACAGCCTGTCCGAAAGGCAGGGAGTTGGTCCAGCATAGATGAATGGGGAACTCCTGACTGAGCTGGGACACAAAAATTAAGTTAATTTAAAAAAAAAAAAAAGGATGTAGAGAGTCCCCTGGAAAAAATAGAGACTTTGTGCAAAAGTGCAAGAATGAAGTCTGGAAAGTCGAAGCTCAGCTGGAGCAAAGCTAGCAGAGGACATGAAGGGCAACATGAAAGGCTTAAGTTAATTAGAAGTGAGAGTGAGACTGAAGAAAAGTGCAGCAAGGACATAAAGACAAAAGGCTTAAGAAAGAGCAAGTTACTTAATGCTGACTGCCTCAGTTTTCAATTGGGAGATTTGCTCTCAGGCTCTTAGGTCTCAGAGCTGTGCGAATGAATTGTCACCCAGTGCAGTATCTCTTGAAAAAGCTGTTCAATAGTAATTATGTGAAAAGTTACGAATGTTTTTCACAGTGTGCTTAGAAGAAGGCATTTTAATAAACTAAAGATTAAAAAGCAGTAGCTATTTTTTGTCAGTTCTTCAGTATGAGTCAAAAATCTTTCAGATGTTTGATTGCAGCCATTATTTTGCTCCAAAGACACTGCAATAATAAACTAGGAGAAAGCCTTTATTGTTGCGTATGCTACTTTAATTTATATACCCTTTTTTTTGCATAGTGCCTCAACTAAATATTTATTACTTAAAATATATTTTTGCTGTTTGGAAAAAAGGCTAAGTCACTGTAAAGCTGCTTTTGTAACTATAGCCAAAGGGGTATGTGGGGTAACAACATTGTGAAAAATGGTGTGTTGCTGAGAACTTCCAGTAGGCAGCAGAGTCCTTTGTCAGTGGTAAGCTGACACTTTTAATTTTTGCAATATTTAATTTTTGCCTGTTGTTAGTCAATAAATGTACTGTTTTTCTGCATTAGATCCCTTCCACTGGGCTTGGCTGTCTCAAGCGAAAGTTCCTTTCTCTCAGGAGACCAGAGACTTAGTTCTTCCTCGCATTTCTGATATGAACTTCGTACAGGATCTTTGTGAAGATCTTTATGAACTATTTAAGGTGAATCGAGTGTTTCTTTGAGTAGAGCATTACTGAAATGGTTAATATCTGTAATGGAATGATTAGAACGTTTTTCTTTTTATGACTTCAACTTTTGTATGTTGTAATGCTTCTGCTATTTTAGATTTATCAATGGCATGGTGGAAAGGGTTTATGTAAATAGGAGGAAACTGTGTCACTAATGAGGTTAATTGATAAAAATCAGCTCATCTGAAAACAAAATCGTCTACTATATACCTATTTCAAATAATCGCTTAAAGATAGTTAACTTCTATAGCACAAATCTGTGTAAAAACTCCATTTAATGTACCTGTGTGGTGTGTATACACTTAAGATAAACTGTGGCAACTTGTATTTAATGTGGCAAATATGTGGCAATCATGTATTTAATGTAACAAAGTTACTGAGGCAACTTGAGGCAATCATGTATTTAATGTAACAAAGTTACTGCACACCTTTCATATACTTAATCTTATATAAATATGTTGTGTCAGGTTGATGCTGAAATCTTGACCATGTAAGTCAAATTTATTTTAAAGATACTGATTGATGTGAGATGGAGTGTCCTTCACTGAAACATTCCATAACCGTGTAAGTCAAATTTATTTATAAAGATACTGATTGACATGAGAAGGAGTGTCCTTCACTGAAACATTCCATAACCAATTGTGTAAGGTGTTCAAGTGAAATAGGCCAAATAATCAGGATGGAAAGAAATGGAAACTTTAAACTTCCAATGAAAATGCAGCTGTAATGTCAAAACTGGATCCTGAAACACATTTGCAATATTTGTGTCCAATTGTGTAAGGTGTTCAAGTGAAATAGGCCAAATAATCAGGATGGAAAGAAATGGAAACTTTAAACTTCCAATGAAAATGCAGCTGTAATGTCAAAACTGGATCCTGAAACACATTTGCAATATTTGTGTTTTTGACTCAGTTGTATTCAAAGTGACTCTGGGTTGTCTGTTAAACCCAGTAGAAGTTGAAGTATTTAATAAATCTGAAGGGGTGACAAATAGACCTTTTTGTGGCTCATACTATGACTATTTGAAGCTTCAAAAAATTATTCAAATGTTGGTAAATATGACTATGCATATTATGAAATTGATTCATTTAGACTATTTGAAGCTTCAAAAAAATTATTAAAATGTTGGTAAATACGACTATGCATATTATGAAATTGATTCATTTACGTGCTAAATACATAGCTAAAAAGAAATGGGTCATTTCCTATAATAACTGTTTGTTTTCTTTATTAAAGACTGACAAAGGATTTGACAAGGCTACTTTTGAAAACCAAATGTCTGTTATGAGGGGGCAGGTAAGACTTATTTTTTTTTTTTACATTTTTATTTATGTATTTGATTTGTCATCACTTTTCTGTTGTTTTTTTAAAGCTACAAAAACTGTCTCTGAAACACACTTGAAGGTATTTTCATCTGAGAAGACTAAATGATTTTTTTTTTTTTTTTTTTACATTTTTATTTATGTATTTGATTTGTCATCACTTTTCTGTTGTTTTTTTAAAGCTACAAAAACTGTCTCTGAAACACACTTGAAGGTATTTTCATCTAAATTTGTCATCACTTCTGTTGTTTTTTTTAAAGCTACAAAAACACTGACTCTGAAACACACTTGAAGGTATTTTCATCTGAGAAGACTAAATTTGTTTCTAGAGTTTGTTCTTATTTGCGTATAGAGGAGACAGCACACAATGTATACTGATTATTGTTTTTTATTTTTATAGAAGAATATTTTCCTAAATAATTATTTTTTATTGGTTTTGCGGGGACCAGGGGAGGACATAATACCTATATATTCCTAGGAGGTATTTTGAAAGTGAAACACTGGAGAAGACTCAAACTTTTATGGAAAATTTGGTGGGTAATTTTGTTACGTGATTAAAATTAATGTGACTTTATTTTGGAGTGTAACTCGATAGTTGAAATACCTCCCATAAGAAAGCAATGTTAGGTAATAAAATTTCTTAGTCCTGGCAAATGTCAGAACCATACTTGAAACCAATCCAGCCATTTTCAGATTGAAAATTTGATGATAGTTAAGTGTGGTTTGGTTTTGTGGCGTTTTTTTAACACTGAAACAATAGAGGAGGATTTCTCCATCTTCCTGTTTTAAAATTGAAGACTGGTGTGACATACTGGAAAACAAGCTTTAGCGAAGAGTAAGTTTTTTTTAACACTGAAACAATAGAGGAGAAGGATTTCTCCATCTTCCTGTTTTAAAATCGAAGACCGGTGTGATATACTGGAAAACAAGCTTTAGCGAAGAGTAAATTATGTAGTTTGTTGCAGGCATAAAAGAGTGATTTGGGAAAATGTAAGGGAAATGGACTAGATAAATTCATAGTCCTATTTGTCCTGAATTTATTGAAAGTGACTTCTGTGTTCATAAATTCAGTGTGGATAGTTTAAAGCCAGACACTCACAGTTCCTAGACAGGCTTAATCTCACCTCTCTCTGTAGAGTTTCCTCTATCAAGAAGTACCTTGCCCAAGGCTGTAGCTCTGCTCAAACATAACCCCAGTTAACATTAGTTTTGTGTGGTGGCCAACAGCCAGCAAACCTTACCTAGTTCAGAAATAAATCCTATAATTCAACTTATTGAATTCTTCTTTTATGAGAAGTTTGTGCAGTCAATGGACGGTCACTTATGAAGTATTCATCCATTTTAAAATGTGTTTAAAACACCGCGCTGTGTGGCGTGTTCAACACACTGAAGGGAAGGGATGCCATCCAGAGGGACCTGGACAGGCTTGAGAGGTGCGCCCATGCAAACCTCATGAAGTTCAGCCAAGCCAAGTGCAGGTTCCTGCACCTGGGACATGACAACCCCAGGCACAAATACAGGTAGGGTGGGGAATGGCTGGAGAGCAGCCCTGAGGAGAAGGACTTTGGAGTGTTGGTTGACGAGAAGCTCAACGTGAGTCGGCAGTGAGTCTTCAGCCTTTCTTCGTAAGACAGATGCTCCAGGCCCCTCACCATCTGTGTAGCCCTCTGCTGTACCCTCTCCAGCAGTTCCCTGTCCTTCTTGAACTCACTGATGCTCCAGGCCCCTCACCATCTGTGTAGCCCTCTGCTGTACCCTCTCCAGCAGTTCCCTGTCCTTCTTGAACTGGGGAGCCCTCACCTTATCTGCTTTTACTCTTTCAGATACTAAACCTTACTCAGGCATTGAAGGATGAAAAAAGTCCCCTCCAGCTGGTGCAGATGCCGCGGGTGATCGTGGAGCGAAGCAGCACTGGAAGCCAGGGCCGGATCGTTCACCTGAGTAATGCCTTCACACAGACCTTCCACAGCAGGAAGCCTTTCTTTTCCTCCTGGTAGCAACAACAACAACAAAAAAAAACCAAACACGTGGGAAGAGTAAACTTCTCAACTTTCAAAAGCTACTTCTGTGTAAAGGCTCCGCAATAATGTCCTTCTGCTGTACGCCAAGAGCTCTGACTGCCGACACCTCAGAACTTAAATCCTAAAGACTTAAGAAATGTATTTTGAATGTAATAAGTTTACAATTTTTTTTTCTTAAAATTGTGAATTCTTATGTCAGGGAATGAGAAGAACTTGTCCATATTGTATTTTTCTAGGCTAAATTAATGTATTCTGAATAAGGGAAGATACACAGTTTGCATACGCTGAGAAACTACTTTTGAATACAAGAGGAATTCTTTTTCTTTAATATAAATATGAGAAGCTCTACACTAGCCATTTCTTTTTATATGGGCTTTAAAGAAGAAGCAAAAAGTGCAGAGAATGTTCTCTTTTGATTGTGAAAATGCTTTTCCTTGGAATTTCTTCCTCATATTTTAAGCTGTTTATAGATTTTTTTTCATAGGCTACTTACTTGAAAAGTCATGCACTAAGAAAAAAATACAAAAACAACTTTCCTTCACAGACAAGTGAAAGAAAAGAAGGGAAAAAACCTACTCTAAGTAGGTTGTTTGGGTTTTTTTTTGCAGAGGGACCAAAAATAGTTAAATTGCAGCAAAATTCAACCTGAGCAAGTACACACAGTTCCTACTGTGACAAAATAAACTGGGTGTACAGTTCTGGGGGTTGAAATTTCACCTGTAGCTTTTAAAAAAAGTGCTGTATTTAAGCCCAGGTAGGAAGAAGGGTGGTCTTTCTTTTACAGAGCCATTGCAAGATGGAATTGCACCACGTTGTCTTGGGTTTGTGTCCCTGGGTGGTCACCAGGGTGGTTGTGCTCCATTGGTGACAGGAGCACCTGTGTGTTTGTCACAAAGCCAGCCTGCCTTCTGAATATCTATCTGTTATTTTTTGACTGGGAAAAAAAAATAATTAAAAAAATACTGTAATAGGTAGAGCACAGAGACTTCTTATCGTGCCCTCACCCGGTTGCCATTTGCGTTTTTCTGATTAATTTATGTGGTCTAAGACTTCAATGGTTGTTTCTAGATCTGTGGCTTTAAGTAACACGGTAAATATTGAGGGGTTTTTTTTGTTAATTTTCTGGACATTTAAGACTGGGAATGGGAGGAGAAATTGCTGCTTTTACGAAACTTTCAGTATTTCAGACGTTGCTGTATTTTGTAATTCTAAGCAATACTGTTGAACTCAAAAAGAAAAATAAAAAAAAATAAAATGCTTGTATTTTATATAATTTTGGGTGGATGTAAATATTAATGTAGTATGTCTGCAATCCACGTGAGCAATTAAAACGTTTAAGCCTTAAATGTAAAACTCCCTTCAAAATACGACCAACTTTATAAACTCTCCATGATTGGTTTTTATCCCAACAGTTTATTAAGAAACTGAAGACGGTGTTTATGTGCGAAATACATGTCGTAGTCTTAAAATGCAGGGGTTTTGGGGCTCGGCTGCCTTGTTTGGGAGAAGCAAAGCCCAATTTTGGGTGGAACAAACCAAATTACCTTTCTCTACCCTCTCCTGGCCGTGGGGCCTCCGCGCCGCTGGGGGGCGCCGTAGCCCCGGCCCCGCCGCTCTTGCATCCCCTCGCTCCCGCCTCACTGCCCCGGCAGGTGCTGCCGGGAAGGAGGCGGTGACATGGCGGACAGCGGGGTGGAGGAGACGGGGGGGTCGGGCGGGCTGGCACTGCTGGGCCTAGTCCCCGGTGCTCCCAGCTGCCCGCACGGTGAGGGGGGCGGCGAGGGAGGCCGCTCGGGCGGGAAGGGGGTGGTGCGCCCTGCTGAGGGGAGGAGCGAGGCCGGCTGGGGGCTCCGGTGGGCCTGACTGAGGTGACGGCGGTTCCCTGGGGGTTTGACGCCTCCTTGAGCCTCTCTCTGCCACCTCTCCAGCTGTTTTGGCGGCTGCCCTGCGAGGGGGGGTTGTGTTTTAGAGCAGCTTTTCTTAATGCTTTCTTCTAGAAGCCCGACCCTTGCGGTGGAGGCATTAAAACAGATCTGTTGGTGTCTCCTGTGCGTCATCGTGTACGTTTGTCCTTTAGGTCCCGCTCTTCTCTTTGTAAAGACCAGCCAAGGCAAAGAGGAGGGAAGAAGATTCTATGCGTGTTCTGCTTGTAGGGATAGAAAAGATTGTAACTTTTTCCAGTGGGAAGATGAGAAGGTAAGAGAGTACTGCCTAAAACTGTGGTAAATATTGGGGATTTTTCCCCTCTATTTAACAGAAAATTAAAAAAAGTATTTTCATTCCGGAAACCTTTGGCAATTACTGTTTTGTGAACTTAGTCTAATAGTTTGTACTTAGCAGAGCATTTATTTCTGTGAGAAGAACACATTTCAAGTATAACTTTCAAGGAAGGCTGTGTACCTTTTGAGCAAAGCTGTCATATGCTACTTTATTGCCAAAACCCTTAGGTATATTCAGGTTATGAAGTTTGCTAATACCATGCAATATTGAAAAAATAGCATAGTTGTGATCCCCAAAATGTCCTCATCTTCCATAATTAAGGCAGGGAAAATCTGGTGGATACAGGCAAAGAATGGAATATACAAAATAGTGAAGGTCAGCATGATGCTCAGTAGTCTCAGAATATTTGCAGCAATTCCTCTTCATCTAAAGAACTTTGGTCAGAGTAATTGTAAGGTAACAAAATTGGGAGTGACATGTATTCACAGAGAACTTGCCGCTGTGTTTGTCCACTACATTTTGTGTTATTTTTTCTGTTTCCTAAATGAGTGTCTTGTTTTGTGGTCATCGTCCTCAGCAGGTTGGCAGGCTGGGATTTAATCAGGTTTATAAGCATTTTGTTGCTGTCCTGATTACTGCTGAAAAGTTGTATAAAGAGAAAATGAGAGGGTTAATCACTCGGTTGTGTAAATTGAAGTGGTGTTCCTAGTGAAATTTCATTTTGAATGTCGCTTGTTTCGTGATGTCTGTTGTTCTGTTGAATTTTACTGTCTCCCCCTTTAAACAAATCAGTTCCGTAAGTTTTGCGCAAATTATTAACTGTGAAACCATTAAGTATGTTTTGTGGGAGCAAAGTAGAAGACTCAGAGAAGAGCTGTCAGGCTTTTAAAATAATGACACACAAAAGACTCGGGCAACATTTCTACTGTGTCACCAGTTGTGAGGATCAGATCGTAGTTCTTCAGAGGGAATGCAGCTGCTGGCCTGCACTGATGGAAAATATACCTCTTTCTACCTTCATCATAATCAAATTTTGAGTTTTTCCCTGAGTATTATATGTGGAAGAAGAATGAAATGCTTCTGTTTATTTTTTGCACAGTTTAAATTCATGATGAGAGACTCGTGTTGTTATGCAGTGTCCCTCTGTGCTGTAGTCGTGCTTGTTCTTCTGAAACAACAACCTGATGAATATGATAATTTTTCTATGCTGAGTAACTAACTCATGAGACCTGGGATTTACTCTTTTTGGTTAATACTGAGATTTAATATACAATACGGAACAATAACTGTTCATTTTGTAACTTTTTGTATATATAAATTTTACAGGTGTCAGAAACTAGGCTTGCAGCACGTGAGGAATATAACAGAAACCGTCAGCCTTTTTTTACACACAGACAGAATGTGGAAAGGTATTGTTACATATATTTTCTTGAGTAAAACTCGAGTAATGCAAGTTTAGGTACTCTGAATGTAATGATAGTATTTCAGGATTCTTTAAAATATGAAAACATGCCAGAGGGATTTGGAAAAATAAAAACTGGTTGACTGCAACAGGAAAATACCATGAAACATCTAATAAGAGAGTGGAATTTTCAACCCAGAGTATTATATGCTCGCTTTCAGGGAAGACTTTTTCAAAGTGTCCTTTGAATATTTTTTCATATCTGCTACTTTGTTTGTGTGTAGATAGTAGAGTTTTGCAAAAGCAGCTTAAAGTACATTGCCTGTTTAAATTGAACTCTTAGGAAATATGAAACCCCCTTCACACCTCCCCTTTGCATCTTTTATAGAGAGGCTTTTTCAAAATTTGTTCCCTTTTGCCTTTTGTATTTAAAGGTACAAGGATTTTGTTCTGTTGCCGTTATCAAAGAGGCGGTTTTGCCAGGAATGCCAGCAATTGCTATTGCCAGCTGAATGGGGAAAACACTCGGAGCACCAGTTCCTGTGTGATATCTCCACTGCCCAGTTAAAAAGCCCCAGTCAACTTCTGTATCCGCTGGAGAATAAAAAAACAAATGCACAGTATTTATTTGCAGACAGAAGTTGCCAGTTCCTGCTGGATCTCATTATTGATTTGGGATTCAGACGAGTGCTCTCTGTTGGAACACCCAGGTATGTCAGTCAGACTTGTTACACTTTCAAATAATATTTCTGTCTCAAAACTGTACCGCTTACTTGTATTTAAATAATTGGGGATTCTCTGATAATAAGAGGTGCACTTTGCTTTAATTGGTTGGGATTATCCAAGCATCTAGTGGGGCCTTGCTTTGAGCCCGTAAGATACAGGAGAAGTCTGTAGCTGCACTGCAAATGAGTACACACAGACATACACTTTGAATGTCTTGCTTTGTTTCTTACAGAAGTAACAGTGAGTTTCTTTCCTTATGTTTGGGGGTTTTTTGTTCATGGAGATCCAGTAGGCTACATTGACTTTTCATCTTTTAAGAGTAACCTATTTTTCTAACTTTGAATATTAGCCAAATGGAATCATCCACATTCAGATTACTCAGTTTTCTCTATCTGTTTGGTTTTAGGTTTAGTAAAGTACCAGGCATTCTTGTCTTGCAAGATAATTTCTGAAGCCAATGATTGTGTGTTAAATGTCTTTGCTCCAATTACACTTCAGGCTTCATGAAATCATCCAGTCAAAAGCATCACAAGAAGAAGATTTCAGGGTTAGAAGCCTTCTGCTAGATATTGATTTCAGGTAAGTTTTGATAAACGTTATCTGTCTGAAGAGCAAGTACAAAGATTTCTGATCTTACTGCTTTAAAAGATAAATGGTGGCTGTTTTTCCTGTCTCTGCATCTGTGTTCCTGCATATGTACACAAATTACATCCAGCTTATGAAAAAAGTAATTCTACTTAATAATTCCCAGTATTGGTATGTGTTCTTGGTAATCAGAATCCAAAGATGTTGTTTTTCTTAAGGCCTTGTTTTCACTGTAAATGCCCTTTAGAGTGGGGAGGCAACAAGTTGTTTGTATTTTTCTACTACTTAAAACTTATTTTACAGGTATTCACAGTTTTATGCAGAAGATGAATTCTGCCACTACAACATGTTTAATCATCATTTTTTTGGTGGAGAGGTAAGGCCAAGTATTTCTTGAGTGCTTTCCAAAGAACTACATGTTGTTGATGCAGAATTTTTTTAAGACAGTCATGGCTAGTGTAGTAGAAAGCAACTGTCATGAGATAAAAATGGTCAAAAGTAGTTGAAATCAAAGCATAACAGTGCCTCTTCAGTAATTCTCTTGAAGTTGCCTAATAAATCTATGTTGACTAATGTTAATTACACACTTTAACTGCTGCTTTTATTGAAATGACCATTTGGCGTGAGTTGTTGGCTTATATATTAGTATTCATTATACTTTAAGTATTCATTAGCTCTTTTCCTGTGTTGCTACAACAGAATTAATTAATTTCCAGTGGATGCCATGGGACTTGTTCACTGGTACTTGAGGTGGGAGGGAAGAGGAAGTTTTTCTGCTTTATTCCAGGCAGGCAAGGTCAAAAGGTTAACCTTGTTGTTATAAAATGAGGTTGAATTAGTGTCATGGTTTAAAAAAAAAAAAGCTAAATTTCTTGTTTCTTTTTAAATGTCACATTAGTGATTAAATTTGAGTTCATTAGGAGACCTGTGGCTTCAGTCAGATGTTTATTGGAGCTTTGTACAGGGAATCACAGCATAATTCAATTCCAAACATTAATTTCAAACATTTATCCCAATAGTACACTCACTCATTGCTCTTCCCCTGCCATTAATAGGAAGCCACCACTGATTTGCATAAGCATGTCTATTGTTATACCTTTCACACAATGCAGATAGTTTTCAGATCTTTACTATTCTAAAGCCTAATTTTGAATGGGATCTTGAAAATATAAAGAATTGTCTGGAGTGAAATGAGAGGCCGGTCTGAAAGCTTTACCTCTGAATTTTTTTATCAATTATTGTATTTTTCAATTAAAACATCTTCACCAACATGATGAACACTGAGGCATCCTTTTCAAGGTGTGAAAAGGTGACACCTGTGGTGGCACTCTATTGCAGTGAATTTGAGGACTGAATTGCAGCACTTCTGAATGCATATTAGTGTCAAAAACCTGGTTGTGGAATGCAATGGAGTCTAAGTAATATAAGAGAGAACAGTGTAAGATGGCAGTGGATATGTAACTTTTTACATTTCCTTTAATACAGAGTCCAAGTTGGATTGCTAAAATTTTAACATGATATATATTTTTATGATGAATTGATTGAATCAGTTTTCACTGGACTGATTTTTCCCCTGTTACTTTGATAATGCTCTACGGAATAAAACTAAAGTTAAAGGGCATGAGTAAAATGTATTCTGAGCCTGAGCTTTGCTTTCTTGCTCTGAATAACATCTTTTTTTCCAGGTTAAATTTAGTACCTTTAGAAAAAGACTATCTTAGGAAGCTTGAACTGCATCTGCCCTTGATACGTTATCTCTGAACAGGGCACCTATTTTCAGTGCTTCAAATCTAGTTGTGGTTTGTTGTTGTTTTTTTAAATGCTACACAAGAGGAAATTCACCTCCACAAAAGGAAATAACTTCCATGCTCAAAGTTGAAACTTCTAAATTTAAGCATTTTATTGCAAAATACAATATTTTTACAGTTTTTTAATCTGTATTTCTGGAAGTGAGCCTCTCTTTCTTGCAGGCTGCACGTGAAACTTGCAGGAAATTCTTGTGTCAGGACAATGGTGAAAGAGTCATTATGGTAACTGATCCCCCATTTGGAGGTCTAGTGGAAGCACTGGCTTCTAGTTTTAAAAAGCTGATGGCCATGTGGAAGGAGACAGAAAAAGAAGGTAGGTTATTACAGCCAGATGGGTGGGCTGAGCTGTAACATCACTGTAAGAAATACCTGTTTAAAAGCCTGTGATTCTTCCTACTCAGGTGAATGTGAACACAATCATGTTATAATTTCTAAAGATGAATCTAACACACTCTCCTCATGCTTTTCATTTAATAATACCCAATTCTCTAGGTCTCTCTTAAAATTCTTTAAAAATTGTTTAAAAATCTACTTCGCAATTAAAAATGGACTTTAAAGGTAGAGATGAAAAAGTTATCAAACCAGTACCATTTCTTACCAGCGTAGGCAGGTGACAAGAGCTGTTAGTTAAGTGGAGCTTCCATTCTGTTTATATAAAATAGGCCAAAACTTGCTGTCACCTGAAGGAACTAGTTCTCATGCCCAGCACGACATACATAAACATGTTTATGTATTTATGGTAAACTTTTCGTGCTTCATGTACCTCGTTTTAATTTAGTGCACATCTAAGTCTTTCCATTCCTAGGTCCTAACAACCAAGAGATGCCCATGTTCTGGATATTTCCTTACTTCTTTGAGTCTCGTATCCTGGAGTTTTTCCCCAGCTTCAGTATGATGGATTACCAGGTATAACTGAACCCAGTGAATCTGCTAAATTTCAGTCGTGTGCAGCATGAACAGGAATATTAATGAAAACAGATATTCATACCTTTAACTCATCTGTCCATTACTCATTTCTTCTGCCTGGTTTTCAATGTGACAAAATTTACACTAATTTCAGCAGGTATATATTGCAGAGGTGAGAGGGAACTTGAAGAAGAGTGTTTCATTTTTTCCCAGATGTTGAATGTCAGTAGCTTGGTGGGTAATGCCTAGCCCTGGTCAATAAAAGTTACTAAGGTCTTTCATCTCCAAAACTGCTGGAATCAGAGTAAAATTACAGCAATGGAAATTTTTGGAATTAGGACATACATAGATAAATTTACATTAAAAAATTGTCAGTGATAAAGCAATAATCTGGCATCAGCTTCTCCAATATAGTGAGATTTTGTGTCAAGTCTTTGAAGGCGGTGCTGGAAAAAGCTGGATTTGCAACTTTGTAATTATTCTGAGATAGGTTAAGATGGTCCTCAACTCCTGCACTGTCAAACAGACCAAACAGTGTAGTTCTAATTTATTTTTTTTTAATGGGTTGCTCTTTCGTAGAACAAACAACTGCAACGTTATCTCGGATATCCCATGGAAAAGAGCAAAGAGGGATAAGTAAAATAGGATTATTCTAGTGTTGAGAAATTATTTTCTTGAGTCTAGCCTGGTACTATGGTTGCACAAATTTAAAAATAAATGAGACAAAATGCTTGCTGTAGAATTTGTAACCTGATTTGGGGTTAGAGTCTTTTATATAAAAAGGAAAATTTCATAGGCAGATATAAAGATAGTGATTACACAAATAATTCTAATTTGGGGTTAGAGGAAAATTTCATAGACAGATATAAAGATAGTGATTACACAAATAATTCTGTCTGTGCTTAGCATTCAGTTTAAGACTCTTTCTGTGGTTTTATTTTTCCAGGTAGACTATGATAATCATGCACTTTATAAACACGGCAAGACAGGTCGTAGACAATCCCCTGTCCGTATCTTCACGAACCTCACCCCGAATATGATTGTCCTTCCTGTGGAAGAGGGGTACAGGTAAGACCTGTTAATGGTCAAGTGACTGGAAGAGTGTGCTCCTTCTTAATCAGGGCATACAGTCTCAGAAGGACTTTGGGATGGTGCTGTTCAGTATGGTCATGCCTGACATTTGGATGCCAGACTCCTGAAGAGCACAATTCTGTGGCTCATCCTAAGGTTGTGGGTTCTATAAACAAAGTGTAAGAGGTTTCTGTTTTCCATTGTGGAGTGATAAGATTCCTCAGTTAGTCCATAGGAATCATGGGATTTTCAGAGTTGGAAGGGACCTCTAGAGATCATCTAGTCCAACTCCCTGCCAAAGCAGGATTCCCCAGGGCACATCACTCACAACAGCATCCAGGTGGGTCTTGAAAGTCTCCAGAGAGTCCACACCCTACCTGGGCAGCCTGCTCCAGTGCTCTTCACCCTCACTGGAAAGAAGTTTTTCCTCATATTTGAACGGAACTTCCCATGTTCCAGCTTGTGCCCGTTGCCCCTCGTCCTGTCACTGGGAACCACTGAGAAGAGTCCGGCTCCATCCTCCCTCAACCCACCCTTTAGATACTTGGAAGCATTAATAAGGTCTCCCCTCAGCCTTCTCTTCTCTTCTCCAGGCTAAAGAGCCCCAGCTCTCTCTGCCTTTCCTCTCAAGGATTAAGGATCTCTTAGTCATCTTAGTTGCCCTACGCTGGACTCTCTCCAGCAGTTCCCTGTCTCTCTTGAACTGGGGAGCCCAGAACTGGACACAGTATTCGAGCTGAGGCCTCACCAGTGCAGAGTGGAGGAGGAGAATGACCTCCCTCAACCTCCTGGCCACGCTCTTCCCTACGCAGCCCAGGATTCCATTAGTCCTTAGTGACAAGGGCACATGGCTGGCTCATGGATAATTTATTATCTACCGGGACCCCCAGATCCTTCTCCTCAGGAGTGCTTTCCAGAAGATCCATCCCTAACCTATAGTGTTGCCTGGCATTCTTCATCCCCAGGTGCAGGACCTTACATTTGCCCTTGTTGAACCTCATTAGGTTCTTCTCTGCCCAGCTCTCCAGCCTGTCCAGGTCACGCTGGATGGCAGCACAGCCCTCTGGAGTGTCGGCCAGCCCTCCCAGTTTGGTATCACCAGCGAACTTGCTGAGGAAACACTCCATCCCCTTGTGCAGGTCATTGATGAACATGTTGAACAGGACTGGACTGAGTATTGACCCCTGGGGGACACCACTGGTTCCAGGGAATTGTTGTGTACGCCTATGAGAGACAGAGATTTACAGCTATTCCTGATAAATCAGCTTGGGTGGGGACAGCAGTCAATAAAGTGAACCCTAAGAGAAGGACAAAGGAATAGATTGGGTTTGAGTTACTGCTGATCGTGCCAATAATTTGAATTCAGGCACCTGAGTTTTACTATTTGGGTGTACTGTGTCTAAATGATTATGAGGCTCTGGACCTAAGTGGTGATTATGCATCAAAACCATCATTAATTTATCAAAGGCACTTTGCAATCCTTATAATTACTGTTGAGCTTCTATTAAATAGCTTGTATAAAATTCATTTCTGTTGCTTCTTGAGCAAATAGTGGACCAATACATTTATTTAAAAATCCTTTTTTCCCAGGTTTTGCGCTCTATGTCAGCGGTATGTTAGTTCTGTAAGATGGTCCTCAACTCCTGCACTGTCAAACAGACCAAACAGTGTAGTTCTAATTTATTTTTTTTTAATGGGTTGCTCTTTCGTAGAACAAACAACTGCAACGTTATCTCGGATATCCCATGGAAAAGAGCAAAGAGGGATAAGTAAAATAGGATTATTCTAGTGTTGAGAAATTATTTTCTTGAGTCTAGCCTGGTACTATGGTTGCACAAATTTAAAAATAAATGAGACAAAATGCTTGCTGTAGAATTTGTAACCTGATTTGGGGTTAGAGTCTTTTATATAAAAAGGAAAATTTCATAGGCAGATATAAAGATAGTGATTACACAAATAATTCTGTCTGTGCTTAGCATTCAGTTTAAGACTCTTTCTATGGTTTTATTTTTCCAGGTAGACTATGATAATCATGCACTTTATAAACACGGCAAGACAGGTCGTAGACAATCCCCTGTCCGTATCTTCACGAACCTCACCCCGAATATGATTGTCCTTCCTGTGGAAGAGGGGTACAGGTAAGACCTGTTAATGGTCAAGTGACTGGAAGAGTGTGCTCCTTCTTAATCAGGGCATACAGTCTCAGAAGGACTTTGAGATGGTGCTGTTCAGTATGGTCATGCCTGACATTTGGATGCCAGACTCCTGAAGAGCACAATTCTGTGGCTCATCCTAAGGTTGTGGGTTCTATAAACAAAGTGTAAGAGGTTTCTGTTTTCCATTGTGGAGTGATAAGATTCCTCAGTTAGTCCATAGGAATCATGGGATTTTCAGAGTTGGAAGGGACCTCTAGAGATCATCTAGTCCAACTCCCTGCCAAAGCAGGATTCCCCAGGGCACATCACTCACAACAGCATCCAGGTGGGTCTTGAAAGTCTCCAGAGAGTCCACACCCTACCTGGGCAGCCTGCTCCAGTGCTCTTCACCCTCACTGGAAAGAAGTTTTTCCTCATATTTGAACGGAACTTCCCATGTTCCAGCTTGTGCCCGTTGCCCCTCGTCCTGTCACTGGGAACCACTGAGAAGAGTCCGGCTCCATCCTCCCTCAACCCACCCTTTAGATACTTGGAAGCATTAATAAGGTCTCCCCTCAGCCTTCTCTTCTCTTCTCCAGGCTAAAGAGCCCCAGCTCTCTCTGCCTTTCCTCTCAAGGATTAAGGATCTCTTAGTCATCTTAGTTGCCCTACGCTGGACTCTCTCCAGCAGTTCCCTGTCTCTCTTGAACTGGGGAGCCCAGAACTGGACACAGTATTCGAGCTGAGGCCTCACCAGTGCAGAGTGGAGGAGGAGAATGACCTCCCTCAACCTCCTGGCCACGCTCTTCCCTACGCAGCCCAGGATTCCATTAGTCCTTAGTGACAAGGGCACATGGCTGGCTCATGGATAATTTATTATCTACCGGGACCCCCAGATCCTTCTCCTCAGGAGTGCTTTCCAGAAGATCCATCCCTAACCTATAGTGTTGCCTGGCATTCTTCATCCCCAGGTGCAGGACCTTACATTTGCCCTTGTTGAACCTCATTAGGTTCTTCTCTGCCCAGCTCTCCAGCCTGTCCAGGTCACGCTGGATGGCAGCACAGCCCTCTGGAGTGTCGGCCAGCCCTCCCAGTTTGGTATCACCAGCGAACTTGCTGAGGAAACACTCCATCCCCTTGTGCAGGTCATTGATGAACATGTTGAACAGGACTGGACTGAGTATTGACCCCTGGGGGACACCACTGGTTCCAGGGAATTGTTGTGTACGCCTATGAGAGACAGAGATTTACAGCTATTCCTGATAAATCAGCTTGGGTGGGGACAGCAGTCAATAAAGTGAACCCTAAGAGAAGGACAAAGGAATAGATTGGGTTTGAGTTACTGCTGATCGTGCCAATAATTTGAATTCAGGCACCTGAGTTTTACTATTTGGGTGTACTGTGTCTAAATGATTATGAGGCTCTGGACCTAAGTGGTGATTATGCATCAAAACCATCATTAATTTATCAAAGGCACTTTGCAATCCTTATAATTACTGTTGAGCTTCTATTAAATAGCTTGTATAAAATTCATTTCTGTTGCTTCTTGAGCAAATAGTGGACCAATACATTTATTTAAAAATTCTTTTTTCCCAGGTTTTGCGCTCTATGTCAGCGGTATGTCAGTTCTGGTAACCAGCACTGTGAGATATGCAATTCATGTACGTCAAAAGTAAGTATTTTGATGGCTTTTTGGATAGAAGTTTTAGCAATAGTCAAATAATTAATAACTTCTGTAATTTTTGCTCTAATAAAAACCTATTCTGATACTGATTTACTTGGGGAACCCCAGACAGTTCGGTTTTGTACTATTTTTTGCTCTAGTAAAAACCTATTCTGATACTGATTTCTTTGGGGAACCCCAGACAGTTCGGTTTTGTAGATCTATTATTACCTTCCTGGGACATAATTCATAGCCCACTGGGAATTAATTTCTGTTTCCCTGATTCCTTTGTGCTGGAAAGAGGACAGGAAATGTTTGCTGGTTGCCACTTGCACCGTTCACCAGTGGTCTCTTGGCATTTCTTCTTATGTTTCAGAAGCTGTAGAACTTGCCAGCTTCAAAATGCAGCCGTTTTGTTGTGGTTGTCACAGATTCTCAGGACTGTTGTTTTTCAGTTATAGTCCTTCCTACAGAGGACCTGTTTCTCTAAATAATGGGGACTGTTCATTACTAGTTCATTTTTAAGATCGAATCAGTGTTTGTTTTTTTTTTTAAACAAGCAAACAAACAATGCATGTTTTAAGATAGAATCAGTGGTTGTTTTTTTTAAACAAGCAAACAAACAATGCATTTATTCTTCTTTTGCAGGATGGTAGACGATGGAAACATTGCGTCCTTTGCAAAAAATGTGTAAAACCCTGTAAGTACAGAAAAATAGTTTTCTTCATAAAAGTGCGCTTACTGTTTTATAGTCAAGAGAAACCCAGATGACAAACCAGAAGAGAAAATATTTTGTAAAAGAAATACAATTCAGAAGACATAAAGTATGGGACAAATCTCAATTTCACACCAGTTGCCATTTGATAACTTCAGGTGTATGTGATTCATCAATGAATTCATCAAGTAATATATTCATTAATGACCTGGATGAAGGGATGGAATGTACCCTCAGCAAGTTTGCTGACGATACAAAGCTGGGAGGGGTGGCTGACACCCCAGAAGAGACCATGCTGTGCCACCATCCAGAGAGACCTGGACAGGTTGGAGAGCTGGGCAGCAAGGAACTTGATGAAATTCAACAAGTGCGAGTGTAGGGTGTTGCACCTGGGGAGGAATAAAGACCATGCTGTGCCACCATCCAGAGAGACCTGGACAGGTTGGAGAGCTGGGCAGCAAGGAACTTGATGAAATTCAACAAGTGCGAGTGTAGGGTGTTGCACCTGGGGAGGAATAACCCCCTGCACCAGTAGAGGTTAGAGGATGACCTGCTGAAGAGAGCTCTGAGGAGAAAGACCTGGGAGTCCTGGTGGACAACAGGATGACCATGAGCCAGCAATGTGCCCTTGTGGCCAAGAAGGCCAACGACGTGCTGGGGTGCATCAAGAAGAGCGTGGACAGCAGGTCGAGGGAGGTCATCCTGCCCCTCTGCTCTGCCCTGGTGAGGCCCCATTTAAAGTTCTGTGTCCAGTTGTGGGCTCCCCAGTTCCAGAAGGACAGGGAACTGCTGGAGAGGGTCCAGCAGAGGGCTACAAAGATGATGAGGGGCCTTGAACATCTCCCTTTCGAGGAGAGGCTGAAGAACTTGAATCTTTTGAGTCTGGAGAAGAGAAGGCTGAGGGGGGATCTGATCAACACCTATAAATACTTAAAGGGTGGGTGTCAGGAGGATGGGGCCAGGCTTTTTTCAGTGGTGCCCAGGGACAGGACAAGAGGCAATGGGCACAAACTTGAACATGGGAAGTTCCATCTAAACATGAGGAGGAACTTCCTTACTTTGAGGGTGGCAGAACCCTGCCCAGAGAGGTGGTGGAGTCTCCTTCTCTGGAGACATTCCAAACCTTCCTGGACACGTTCCTGTGCAACCTGCTCTGGGTGGACCTGCTCTGGCAGGGGGTTGGACTAGATGATCTCCAGAGGTCCCTTCCAACCCCATATCATTCTGTGATTCTGTGAAAGAGTTTCATGGTGTATCTAATGAAGAATTACCTGGCTGCCTGCATAGCATTCTGTGATTCTGTGAAAGAGTTACACAGTGTATCTAATGAAGAATTACCTGGCTGCCTTACAAAATGTCCTAAGAAAACAGAGATTACACCCATCTGTGTGAAACTAAACCAAGAGTAAAATCCTGGTAACGTAGCCTATATTTAAAGCTTCTGAATGATCATTTTAAACCCTTTTCAAGGTCATAAATCGTGTTACTTGACTTTGCAGCTTGGTTCCACTGCAGCAATTGCCACCGCTGCGCTCTTCCAAACCACTCCTGTGAGAGGACCAACGCCGGCTGTTTTGTCTGCGGCCGGGCAGGTCACAAACGCAGCGCCTGTCCCAGCCTCTCCCGCGCCGGGACAGCCTGCCAGTAAGTGGGGTATCACCATGATGGTATAAAAGAGAGCATTCCCGTGAGCTCGGATCGTTTTCCATGCAAAAACCAGGACCTGTTGGAGCAGACGGGGTTGATCGGAGGGCTGGAGCACCTCTCCTGCAAGGACAGGCTGAGAGACAGGATGAGACAGACAACAACCCACTTGCTAGTCAGAAATTAGGTCCTATATTATTTGCAGGAGTCTTTATAATATTTTTAAACCTGATGTGCTTTCTCCTAAGCCTCTACATTACGTAGTCACACTGTTACCGCAAACTGGCAGATAAAACTTTCTAAGACTCAATTTAAAGTTCAGAAAGCTCTTATAGTTCTTTATTGCTCTTTATTGTGGCACCAGGTGCACAGGGGATGGCTCCTCCTATTGTGCACACCGAATGCTGTTGTCAAATTAAATTTATACACAACAGGTATGCATATGCCATGTCACTCCAAGAAAACATTAGCATATTAGTTATATTTCCAGGAATTCATTTACATATTATTATAAGCTTTTGGGCATGCATAGTTGTGCCTTCTGGTGGTCCTTATTTTGAGTGAGGGTCATTTCTTCCTCAATCTTCATCTTCTTCACCCATCCTTTGGCTCGCTTTTCATGTTGGCAAAACATTCTAACTGCTTAATTGCTCATTAAAACTAATGATCTCTCTGCTACCACCCATTTGTCAGATAATGTCCATATTTATTGCATCCCTGTCTTAGGTCACCATGTTCTCAGGGCCACAGACATCCTTTCTAATTTTACTAAGTCCTTGAAACCATTTGGTATGGTTGCTAAAACAGCTACATTTCTTCTCTAAAAGAAGATTCTCTAAAGTTTAACCATTTATAAACTACATAAAATCTGCCTTAGGTATCAATACATTAAATATTGAGCACGACAGGCTGTATCTGATTTTTTATGTACTTGGTGAGTGGCGTTTCTAAATTTTTCTACCTCTGTCTAAAGGTAAATGGTGAATAAGTACATACATGAAAAATAATTAATGGCAGTGAAGCGGACAGACAGTTTTAGGAAGATTAAATGCCCTAACGTAAGATGGAACGTTCCTTGTGCTTTTTGTGGTAGTGCTCCTGTAAGGTCCTGGTCTGATTGGTCTGGGAGGGGTCTGCAGTGATTCTGAGGTTCATATACTTCATTGGCCAGATTGTTTAAATATTTAAAATACCAGCAAATGTGGAAGTACCTTCTCCATTTTATTCTAATCTATGCCTTCCTTTTCTGCTTTACAGAGCTGGCAAAAAGCAGAGGCAGAAAACTCAGAAGAGGATGAAGGTGGGGATCAGTAAAAGATCAGCTGTGAAGCGTGCCGTGTTCTCCAGGAAGAAGATAAAGAATAAGAAAAAAAAGACGTGATTTTGCTTGCTGGTGCTTAGTTATGTTTGTTTGTGGTGGTTTTTTTATGGCCAGCCTTTGATTCCATTGTCTAAAAATGTTAATATTAACATCCAAAATAAAACTGATTGAGAGTGACCGTTCTTTTATTATAGATCATTACTCACACACAAAAAAAAAAAGGTGAAGTGGAGCACACCCCCTGAATTTGTCTAATATAGTCGGGTTTTGTGTGTAGGATCAGCTGTTCGCCTGAAGGGAAGGCCTTTCCTCGGGGCCGGGCCTCAGGGCCGCGGCCGCTTTCCTCAGTCCAGGCGGGGAAGGGAGCCGACCCCCGCCGGGGAGAGACCTCTCCCACCCCGCTGAGGGGCACCGGGCGGGCGGGCAGGGCCCCGGGGCTCCCCGCCGTCCCCCTCACGGTTCCCGCTGAGGCCCGAGCCCCGCCGCGGCGGGAAGCACCGCCCCCGGAAGCCGGGAAGGGAGGGCGGGAGGCCGGCGGGGCCTAGGGCCGGGCGGGAAGGAGGAGAGGAGAGGGGAAGGGAAGGGGCCTGGGAGTCCCACCGCCACCATGCCCGCCTTCCGGCAGGTGGGGGAGAAGCAGCTGCCCCAGGAGGTCGTCTTCATGGCCTGGTCCCCCAAGAGGGACCTCATCGCCCTGGCCAACAGAGCGGGCGAGGTGAGTGCGGGGGAGCCGGGGCAGCGCCGGGGGGG